AGGAGCAGAAAAACATGACTTTCATTCTACCCCTCACACTGATAGCATTGGATGTATAAGGGTTAACGGTTACACATGAGATGAACACAACATTGTCAAAAAATAGAGTAAAAAAAACATTTTTTTAAAATAAAGATTAAAGGGACAATGCAAATGTGGCAGAAACACTGCTTAGTCGTGTGATTTCCACTTGTATTGTGTGTTTCTCCTTGTATTTCGTTTATTGTGCCCTGTTTCTCCGTTCGGGAGCATCCATACGAACAGAAGCCATTCTGAAGCAGGGATGGGATGGAAGAGGTATGGGACGAGGTTAGAATGGGATGGGGATGGGTCAGGGATTTGACAAGGATGGGACGATGATGGGACAGGGATGGCGTGGGGATGGGACCAGGATGGGATGGATATGGGACAGGGATGGGGATAGCGTGGGAATGGGACGAGGATGGGACAGGGATGGCGTGGAGATGGGACCAGGATCGGATGGGTATGGGACAGGGATGGGGATAGCGTGGGAATGGGACGAGGATGGGACAGGGTTTTTAAATGGGAAAAGGATGTGAATGGGAAGGAAAGTAAGAGGTGATGGAATGGGGATATGAATGGGAAGGGATGGGGATGGGGACATGATGGGACGGGGTTACCCGGACGTTGGGCTCAGCTGCAGTGCGCTTGTATGGAGGACATGGCCCACCAAGAGTGTATTTAATAATTTGATTTCCTCGGGCCCAAATAGTGACAAAGACAATTAATTCAGGACTGTAGGAAAATACGTGTTAATGAGCTCGATCGGAACTCCGGTAGAGCGCCAATGTTTGCAGAACTGTCCAATAAACTCACGCAGCCTAGAGTGGACGATTGTGATGTGGTGAGACTTGTTCTGCAGATCACAGAAGTGAGACATGGAATAAACATGCTGCGGTAAAAGTTCTTCCCAGCTCTCAGTTTAGTGAATACAGCCCATTTATCTTTGTAAGGGCATGAAGAGTATATTCCAGATACAAACACTTTCCCACAATGCATCTGTATGCATGGCATTATGGGGATTAATAAAAAAAAATAAAAATGTAATTCTTTATTTTTGTTGCGCAGGTGATAAAAAAAACATCGACAAACGCCACAACAGCGTACAAGTGTGTATAAACAGCCCAAACAGTGGCATAGACAATTGCGTATTTTTTGTTTTTGAGTACAGGCTTAACAATTTTATGCCAGCTACAGCAAAAATGTAATACGGTACAGCTAGAGGTTGCTTGTAAAATCTGGTTGAGATGTGGGCATCATATACTAAAATTAAAATAAAAGTGGAACCAGCATTCTTGTCTTGTGTTTAGCGGGCTCCCTGAACAAAAGCTTTCATTGCTTCAGTAAAGTTAAATGCATGATAATAATAATAAACAGGCTAACCATGCTTGTCTAGTTTAAAGTTGCTTAAAAAGAGCTAGAAACCGGCATAATACACTTAAATGACAAAGGCGTCACTTAATAGGCAGTATAACACTAGGTGCGATTAGTGAGGTTTCTAGTCTTAAGCTATGCCAACATATAGGTAATAGTATGGGGACATGCTGAACTGCATGGTGTGAAGGTAGTACGTCCCTCTAGTTGCATGTCCTGGGTGCCAGCTAGTAAAGTAGAAGTGAAGGCTTACAGAATATGATTATGCTTGTATACATCTGGGTTGAGAGGAACAAGAAAATAACATGGGGGGAAAAGAGCATTAATGTAGCAAAAGCTAATGTATAAAATGTTATGCTAGGCATTGGACTCTAAGCGTGTAATAGGCCGACTGGAAGGCAGGTTGTTTAGCCTTTGCCAGACACCTGGTGAGTATGGCAGCACAGTCCCAAGTCCCTCCTTGCAATACTCCATCTGCTCTGGGCTTTCAGACAGGCTTGTGTAGGTGGTCTCCGTGTTCTGCCCCAGTTCTGCCTGGGTCCATCCAGGCCTATTCCATGAGCAGCTCCCGAGCCGCCATTTTGGGGAGAGTGAGGTTGTAGTTGTGGACCGCCAGCTCTGGCATTCACATTTTGCCTCGCTTGTATGTGCTTCCAAGTAGGTGGGTTAGGCATCCGGGTGTTCCCCCTCCGGGTTCTCAGCCTGGAAAGGCGACAGCGGGCTTTGAGTTTTGCAGCACGTGGCTTTTCCTTTGCTGGCCTTGCACTTTTGGGCGCTGTCGGCAGTTTCCGTTTGTTGCCAGCCATGTGGTATAGTTTGAAGAGAGGAAGGTATCTGTGCTCCATTTATTCCTGTGTCACCGTTAGTGTTCGGTCCCCCCTGCTCTGCAGCCTCTGCCAGAATCTGCGAAAGAGGTCATCCAGTCGCTGTTACATAGTTACATAGCTGAAAAGAGACTTGCGTCCATCAAGTTCAGCCTTCCTCGCATTTGTTTTTTGCTGTTGATCCAAAAGAAGGCAAACAAAACCCAGTTTGAAGCGTAATTTTGCAACAAGCTAGGAAAATAAATTCCTTCTTGACCCCAGAATGGCAGTCAGATTTATCCTTGGATCAAGCAGTTATCACCCTACATTGAAAGATTATATCCTTGAATATTCTGTTTTTGCAAGTATGCATCTAGTAGCTGTTTGAATATCTGTATGGACTCTGATAAAACCACTTCTTCAGGCAGAGAATTCCACATCCTGATTGTTCTAACAGTAAAAAACCTTTCCTTTGCCTTAGACGAAATATTCTTTCTTCCAGTCTAAACGCATGGCCTCGTGTCCTATGTAAAGTCCGGTTTGTGAATAGGTTTCCACACAATGGTTTGTATTGGCCCCGAATATATTTGTATAATGTTATCATATCCCCTCTCAGGCAACGTTTTTCCAGACTAAATAGGTTTAAATTTGTTAACCTTTCTTCATAGCTGATATGTTCCATTCCTTTTATTAATTTTGTAGCCCGCCTCTGCACTTTTTCTAGTGCCATAATATCCTTCTTTAGAACAGGTGCCCAAAATTGCACAGCATATTCAATATGGGGTCTTACCAGTGATTTATAAAGAGGCAAAATTATATTCTTGTCCCGAGAATGAATGCCCTTTTTCATGCATGACAATACCTTACTGGCCTTGGCCACTGCTGATTGACATTACACATTGTTGCATAGTTTGTTGTCTATAACAATTCCCAAGTCCTTTTCAAGTGTTGTTATCCCTAATTCGCTTCCATTAAGGGTATACGTTGCTTGTGTATTCTTTACGCCGAAGTGCATAACTTTGCATTTTTCAACATTAAATTTCTTCTGCCATTTGAGTGCCCAGTCCCCCAGTCTATCTAAATCCCTCTGCAGCAAAGTAATATCTTTCTCACATTGTATTATTTTACAAAGTTTTGTGTCATCTGCAAACACTGAAACATGACTTTCAATGCTGTCTTCGAGATCATTTATAAACATGTTAAATAGAAGGGGTCCCAGAACAGACCCCTGAGGGACACCACTTGCCACCTCTGTCCAGCTTGAAAATTTACCATTAATGACAACTCTTTGTACTCTGTTTTTAAGCCAATGTTCTACCCAAGAACAAGCATTTTCATCTAGACCGATTTCCTTGAGTTTGAACACTAATCTATTGTGTGGAACTGTATCAAATGCCTTGGCAAAATCCAAATAGATCACATCCACGGCAACACTCTGATCTATACTTTTACTTACTTCTTCATAGAATGCAATCAAGTTAGTTTGATTGTTCTAGTGGCTTTTGCAGCCTGTATGTTGCTGCGGCAGGATCAGCAGCCGCCATCTTGGCCCTGTTTACACTGCTTGCATAAGGGACTGATGGGTGATATGATTCAGCTTGTAGCTGATATATGCCGGGATGACCCCCACCATGTAGGGTTGGAGGGGAAAGGGTTTCCAACAGCTTTGGCGTTTCACAGCTGGTCTGGTAGCAGGGAGATCGGATTAATATAATTTACATCACATGCCCTGGCTGTGCCAGGACACTTGACATATGACAGAAATAAAAAATAAAAGCATTCTGTAAGAGGAAGCAGGACTCCACTAACTAGCCTACTAGTTGCACGCTGATACCAGACAAATATACAAAGTCCATCACCCTCCAGGCAGTGAAAGAATCTGTGATGAAAATTCACATCACTAACTTTCCACTTACACAGAATGACAAACAGAAGGCTAAAGAGACAGATCTAAGAACTTTGTACAAAAAGGTAAACCCAAAATACAATGTGATATGGGTCGACTGGCGCTAGTTAAAGGACCTCTATAGGCACCCAGACCACTTCAGCTTAATGAAGTGGTCTGGGTGCCAGGTCCAGCTAGGGTTAACCCTTTTTCCTATAAACATAGCAGTTTCAGAGAAACTGCTATGTTTATAATAGGGTTAATCCAGCCTCTTGTGGCTGTCTCATTGACAGCCGCTAGAGGGCTTCTGCGTTTCTCACTGTGAAATTCACAGTGAGAAGACGCCAGCGTCCATAGGAAAGCATTGTGAATGCTTTCCTATGGACTGGCTGAATGCGCGCGCGACTCCTGCCGCTCATGCGCATTCAGCAGAAGAGGAGGAGAAGAGGGAGGAGACCTCCCCGCCTGGCGCTGGAGAAAGAGGTAAGTTTAACCCCTTCCTCCCCCCAGAGCCTGGGTAATGGGTCACTCACACTCTCCAGAGCCACATTGAGCAGGCTCTATGTTGGCATGTAGATAGTCAGAGCCTGCTCAATGTGGCTCTGGAGAGTGTGAGTGACCCATTACCTCTGTGATTGATTATGTGTTTATACAGCATTATGCTATCTCAGCTTTATGTTTTCCAGATTAATGAAGAGGTTTATCATTTATTGGAATTAAGTATAACTCACTGTGTGTTGGTGTTTACTATTACACCCCCTCTCCTTTCTATTATTTGTGTAGATCTAAGAACTAGTTAACTTTTTTGCTAAATCCCTGACATAGTGTGATTCCTTGATTAGACATCCAGTTAGTTATTGGGCTGTGCACTAACTCTGGCTGAGTCAGGAGAACAGATCATGTGATTCCCTCCGTCATGTGACTTCCCCCTAGGTCATGTGCCAGTTAAATGTTCTCCTTCCAGGGGAGGCTTCTCAGTAGCTTTTCTTTTTATCTGTGGAGCTGCAAGCAATGTCTTTGTCCTGGCTGCCCCTGTTCCTGGTTCTGCTGAGCCTCCTGGGGGGGACTCAAGGGGGTAAGAAGAGCTTTTTAATTCATAGCATGATTACTTTCTAATTCAGTCTTTTATTGAGAGAATTAAGTAACTCAGTGCTTTCTCACAGTGAATGAATGGGACATTAAATGACTGCTGTGTGGGTAGTAGATCCCCCTGGATTAGCCTCCCAGCAGAAATGGTAGGGGTGATATTGATTTTTTTTATTTTTTGACTAATAGGAGCTGTTGTGTGTGTGTGGGGGAATAATCTATCTATGGTGTAACTATATCCTCCCCCCTCCAGCCCAAAATCCCTGCCTCTCTCTACATCTCTCACAGTCTCTGTCTGTCTCTCCCTCTAGCTGTGTCTGTCTTTGTGTCTCACCCCTTGCACTTTCCACTGCCCCCAGCCTGGTCTGTTCCTGTCCTCTGATAGATCACTCATTTAAAGAACCTGTATCTGACTATTTAATTTTAATACAATGATGTCCAAATCTTCACCTACAGACCATTCTATGAATGGTCAAGAGTGTAGCGCAGTCATAGAGGTGGGAGGATCCTCCGTGAGGAGCCAATCAATTCCTAAATCGATCAACTAGAATTCTGCGTTCACAAACCTAAATAATTAGCCACGCTGGAGATAGACTCTGTGTATAATGAAAACTGTCATGGTTAGTTCCTAAAGTGAATTTCACATTTACGGCCAGAGTAGCCAAACTGAAAGCGTAGCGGACTTTGAGAATTTCTACAGTTTGGATATTTTGATCTTAAATGTGAAATTCACGTCAATGATTAATTCTGTGAGTTTATAAAAATGTTACGTGCTGGGAAAGTATTGAGCACTTTGGTGGGTTTCTGCTCCAATCTCAAAAACGTTATAGCTCACTCATGCCATTAAAGAGATCACTAATGATAATATCATGAAGACAACTATAGTGCCAGGAAAACAAACTCGTTTTCCTGGCACTGTAGCTTCCCCTACTGTCAAGGCCCACCCCTGTGGTGCAGAAAGGGTTAATAACCACTTCTTTCACTTACCTGGGTCAGCTCCCCTAGAGAACAGCCAATAGAGGAGTTAACCCGAGCAGGTAATTATTGCAGTTTATAAAATTGGTAATCATTACATGCTCAGGGTTAAGGGTGATAGGAGTTGGCACCCAGACCACTTCAATGAGCTGAAGTGGTCTGGGTGCCTACAGTGGCCCTTTAACCCCTTAAGGACACACGACATGTGTGACATGTCATGATTCCCTTTTATTCCAGAAGTTTGGTCCTTAAGTGGTTAAAGGGACACTCCACTGCTCAAATACAAAATAAACTAAAAATCATTGTTTAGTAGATATAGCCCGAAGGAAAACATGTATGTGTTTAATTATGCTTTTTTTTTTTTTGGAATAATATGGCTTGTAAAAGCTGCTGATCTCTCATCGGAACCTTTGCACGCTCTCCCCTTCTAACCCCGCCCAGACTTTTTGTGGCTGTCCAATCACAGACCTCTCAATGCAGCTCAATGAGAATTCTTTGCAAGGCAGGTGCTCTGGGCAATTGCTGCATCTTAAGTTTCGCTCCACTGAGCTAACCAAACCAGGAAGTAACTGGACCGCTTGTCTGCTTGAAAAATCAGAGGGGTGTAACCTGCATAATTTATAAAATGTGCTAATTTCTATTGAACTCTGCACTTTTTTTTTCATAATTCAAAAAAGAGGGCATTCTGTTCACACATAAAGCTATTTAACAAGCTAAAGTACTTTAGGGTTCTGGAGTGTCCCTTTAATAATATGGCCTTTGTTTTTCTCTCCCTGTGATAACACTTGTTTCTGTGTTTTGATATACATAAAACACAGACCATTTATATTGCACTATACAACCTCCATCGCATTCTGTCTGTTAATCCAATTTATTCTACTTATCACACCTCTGTGTTGCCCTGCTCTGCTCGGATTGTAAGCTCTGTAGGCAGGACAAGTCAAACCGCTACATTTAATTGAGCATTTCCTCTTCATTCGGATGAGCTGGGGGTTAGTTACAGGAAATTGTGACAGACAATCTCCATTGCTGGGCGTCAGGACTCTGTAAACACAACAGTTCCCCACGCTGTATAATACGCAGTCAGCCATCCGTTCAGTGTTATCTGAAACCTCAGACCTGCACAAATCAATACTTTTATACCCCCTGCAGCAATGCAAAGACCACAAAAACTCCATGTGTTGTGTAATACAGGGTATAACCTCCATAGCTTTCTACAATATGGGGGGGGGGTATTATTCCCCCCCCCCCTAACAAGGCACAAGATCGAAGCAGACATGACTAGAGTAAATAAAATATAGAGTCTTATCTGTGGTCAATATACACAGAAATCAAGAGAGACAAAGAAGAAGCGAGTTCTATGATAATTCAACAATTGGCTCAATTTTGGAATTGTATAACGTACCAGGTGGGAATACAAAATAAGGTCTTGAACTGTTTCCCAATATAGTCTCTAATGATAAACATGCAAGACTTCAACATAAGACAATGGGGAATCAATGGAAATGGGTTATTAAGACTTTTTTTATATAGAGATAAATATATAGAAAGTTCCCTAGATGACAATCTGTATTTGGATAATTTAGGGGTCTGACATGAGCACTTACAATTGTTGCTCTTTCAGTACAATATCCTCCACCTCTCACCCCAAGCTGATGTATCTCTCTCCTCCGTCCCACAGCGTGGAATTTACGACAGATCAGAAACAAACTGCACCGGCAGCAGCAGGCGGAATCCTTCAAATCTTTTTACACTCGCTTCGGGCTCCCAAGGGGGGCACTTTCCTACACCACTGCACTGGAGGGTTACCTCACCCAGCCACTGGACCATTTCAACCGACGCAATAATGCCACCTACAGGCAGGTCAGTAATTATACTGCCCAATATGTCGAGTGCAGATATGTCAGCACACTCCTGCTCATTGTAAACCATGCTTTCATTTTTGCCAAATCTCTGTTTAGAGGTACTGGATAAACGAGGCGTTCTGGCAGCGGCCGGGCGGTCCGGTTTTTCTCTATATTGGAGGTGAAGGTTCCCTGTCTGAATTCTCCGTACTGTCAGGTAAGATTTGCTGGAGGTTGGAAGAGCTCCCATTCCCCTCTGTAAATAAAAAAGATAATATGAAAGATACCCTAGTGTTTATTACTGGGTGTAGAGGAGGGCTCTGTGATAACTGCATGCCGCCTGACATCAATCTCTTATGCTGTCTGTTATAGGGGAACATGTGGAGATGGCACAGAAACACCAGGCACTCTTAGTATCTCTGGAGCATCGTTATTATGGAGCTAGCATTAACGAGGACGGCCTGACTCTGGAGGCAATACGTTTCCTGTCTAGCCAGCAAGCGTAAGTATCAGACACTCTGTGATGTCCTAATACATAATCTAAAGACACGTACCTCTCACTCCCTGCTAATACGCAGACACGAAGTCGCCTACCTCTCACCCCCTGCTAATACGCAGACACGAAGTCGCCTACCTCTCACCCCCTGCTAATACGCAGACACGAAGTCGCCTACCTCTCACCCCCTGCTAATACGCAGACACGAAGTCGCCTACCTCTCACCCCCTGCTAATACGCAGACATGAAGACACGTACCTCTCACTCCCTGCTAATACGCAGACATAAAAATTATACTGTTTTCCAGACTTGCAGATCTTGCCTCCTTCCACCTGTTCATCTCCCAGAAATATAATCTCACCCGTAATACGTGGATCTGCTTTGGAGGGTCTTATCCCGGCTCCCTCTCTGCCTGGTTCAGACTTAAGGTGAGAAAGTTGATTTATACAGAAAACAATCTGCCATTTCCTTCCTACAATATTACAAAACCACTGGTATATATTAACTAGCAGTGAGGGTAGTGTGTGTCTGTGTGTTACTGGTTCTTGGCACGTGGGGGAGAGGTTGTGTGTGTGTGTGTGTGTGTGTATGTATGTATGTATGTATGTATGTGTTTATTGGTATGCAGGAGCGCTGTATTTCCTGTGTGTGAGAGGCTGTTACTGTGTAACATTTTGGATTAAAGCACGCATTGTCTTTACAGTTTCCCCATCTGGTGTACGCCGCTGTGGCCTCTTCCGCTCCGGTTAGAGCTAAGCTTGACTTCACAGACTACAATAAGGTATTCAGGCGCTCCATGTCGTGGTATGTGCCCACTGTATCCTGCCCAGGTTGTTACAGGGAGTTTTACTCTCTAAACCAGGAACTGTCAAATTTAATAATATTACAAATGTCAGGCCAAAATAGAAAGTAGTTACAGTATTTTTCCAGTTTATCTAATGTGGCTTAAAATGAGCAATTTCCTGGTCAGATCTTTACGATTGTTTAAAGGAATACTCTACACACCAAACCAGGTGTAGCTTAATGCAGGGCACAGCACTGACATTGCTTCTGCCAGCTGATGAGACCTGCAGTGTTAACATGGCGGTGACCACACTGAACAGCTGGAGCTAAGTAAAGGTCACCTCCCCTGCTCCTCGCTGCTATCAGACCCACACTGGATCTGTCTTTGTAAAATATGCAAGGACCCCTGAAATTGACAGATCCGCTTTAACAGGGCTGGAGATAATTTCTAAAATAAACACACTGTGATGTCACATTTGATTGAAAATTAAACTTTTTATTTTTCATGCAGGCTGTGTCCATCACAGCCACAGGAGATTTGGCTAGGGCTGCAGAAACAAAAGTGATTTTATTTATTTATTTTTAACTCCTAAATTCCAGTCAATTGAAAACCATTCCTTTTACTTAAATTTTTTTTTTTTTTTTTTTTATATAAATATAGCCTTTTATTATTGGTAGCCAGAGAAAAGCACACAATCTTTAAACCAGTGTTTGTCTCTCCAGGTGGTGGGTCATAGTCTATCGGACCCTGTGATTGGTGGATCTGCAAAGGTACGTCGCAAAATTACAACATATTTCATGTATCCATTCCATTTAAGCCACTAAGCGTGTCACCGTTATTTGTTCCCTTTAACCCAATAAGCCTGTCATTGTCATTTGGTCCCTTTGCTGCGGTGGGGACTGTCTTGTTTATTAAATCTGGCTATTTAAAATCTGTCACAGTAAAGGAAACATTTTCTTAAAGTATTAATACATGTAATTTTGTGACTTTCCAGTGCCTGGATTTGATCAGACGAGGTTTCCAAAGAGTGGATTCTCTCCTCAAGTTGGGAAATGTCACCCAGTTAGAGAAGGATTTCTTTTCGTGTGAAGCGCTGCGCGGCCCAGATGACTTCTCAGAATTTGTTAGTAACCTGGCTGACATCTTCATGGGCGCAGTGCAATATAACGGGGAAATTAAAGGCAATGACGTGCAGGGATTGTGTCAGATTATGACCACGGAAGGCATGAAATCTGCCTACGAGGGATTGAAAAAAGTCAACAAGGTAAGGGGTTACTGCAGTGAATATCCATTGGTACGGAGAAAGGGTGGTTGTTGTTGTTATTATAATTATTATTATTATTATTATTATTATTGCCATTTATATAGCACCAACAGATTCTGTAGCGGTTTACAATATTATGAGGGGGGGGATGTAACTATAAATAGGACAATTACAAGAAAACTTACAGGAACAATAGGTTGAAGAGGACCCTGCGCAAACAAGCTTACATTCTATAGGAGGTGGGGTATAAGACAAATAAATAAGGTGGAAGTGAAGCAGAGCTGGAGGAGAGAGTAAAGTGCTGCCCTATAGGAGAGAGCAAGAGACAGGTATGTAAGGTAGAGGTTACTCTGGGAGGCCATTAGCTTTCCAAAAGAGTGTGTTTTTTTTTTTTTTAAGGCACTTCTTAAATGATTGAAGACTAGGGGAGAGTCTGATGGGGATAGGCAGACTATTCCATAAGTAGAGAGCCACCCGCAAGAAGTCCTGCAAGCGCAAGTTGGCTGTACGGGTTCGAGCAGCGGTCAGGAGGTGGTCATGGGCAGAGCGGAGGGAACGAGGAGGGGCACACTGTGACGGTATAATCCTGTGACCTGTCAATCATTCCCTTTTTCCCATAGCATAGCCAAGTAATCCACAAAGTAATAAATCGCTGGTATCGCCGAATAATCCACACATGAGCCAAAGCTGAATGCTGGAACAAGACTGATTTACTGGGAACAAGGGTGCTCAATTTATGCAACACATAACTCCACCTCTGGGCCAGGCTAGATAATTGAGTTTGAGCAGCTTATCAAACACAATTATCTACTGGCCAGAAAAGTTAAAATTTTTCACAATTCTTAAAAATCTACTTTATACATAACATTAATATAAAAACCATATACTTCGGTAGCTGAGGGTGATGTGTGCAACATATTAAAAATTTGTGAAAATCCGTTCAGCAGTTTTAGAGTTATACTGTGTGAAAGTTTGACCGGCTCTTCACGAGATTTTAGCCAACTTAGAGTTCCACAGAATCAGGGGCAAGAGCCTGTCTCCGTTCGGATGAAATTTCACAAAAACTGCTGCAGGTATTTTCAGTCTGGTTCGTGGAGAATGCTTCCCTCATTCGTCTGTTCTAAACTCCCGAACGCCGTTCTTCTGCCGTATTTAGAAGGGGTTCGTGTGGCAAAACCAACCTCGCCACTATGCACTGGAGAAGCCTGGTTGCCAGCCTCCTGCCATCTGACTATGGCCCCCTTGTGAATTCGTACTTTTGTATGCAATATTTGGGCATGTGACATTTTTATATTGCTGCTACTGGCCCTTTAAGGGCCATCCGTGGACATATTCTGACTGTTAGGAATAATGCCCTTTAAGATTGTGTAGCAAATTGCATTCAGGCTGTATTTAATATTATGTGTTCGGTAAACAGTGTTATGTGTATGCAGCATTCGTCTGATTGTTCGGTAGAATTACTCCATTCATTATATTGGGTGAAACTACCGAACAACCAGACCACCCTGGAGTAAGTGTGCCTCCAATTACCGTTTGCAACAATGTTGCAAACGGGTAATTGGCAATATTATATATAATTGGCCCGCCGTTCGGTAGAAAGGATCCCACGAACAGGGGGATTCTTACGAATCCTCCCCAAGCTCTATAACCCAGGCAATTCGTGTGATTCATTCCCTTTTCTGTGACCGACTGCAGGGCCAAAGTACATGGAACTATTTTCGGATACTTTTGCCATGCAGTCGGTAAAAACTTTAACCCTTTATAATTCCTGAACCCCTGGTCCGATCTGGGGGATTTTCGGATATGTGTCTCACCCAGATCAGGGCTACCAGGGGATGTAACATTTAAAGGGGTATCCCTATGTTTAGGGGTACATCCAGTATCCCAGGGAATTTGTGTCTGTACTAATGGGATTATGTGTCACACTAAGGGGAGGAGATGTGTGGGAGGTAACTGGTACATTATTGGCTGGGGTACTAATTGTTGTAGATCCCTCCCTTGCATGGGAGAATGTCTTAAAAGGAGGCTGTGTGAATAAATCTAGAGATTCTGCTTAACCCTCAAAACGAAGTGTCGTCTCGTTATTGAGGGAATTGGATTGTGTGCTGACTGCCAGGAGTGTAAGCCGTTCGTATTGCTTTTCCTGTTCGGCTGCTTCCAGAGTTCGTGTATTTCTTGTTCGTGAGTTGGGGATTCGTACAGTTTGGAGTTCGGGAGGTTGGTGATTGCAGTAGCTGCCGGTCTATGGGAAAGGGGATTATCGCCTAAACTGATTTATCCCCTTGTGAGAGAAACGGTCCGTTACAGTTCGTATAGGACTTCCAGAGGGGGACCGGGTGTTTGTCAAGTACCATGCCGAAAACAGTTCCAGGCATTCGACGACCAAGTCCTGCTGACCGCCGTTCGAGAGTTCAGATGGCCGCCGTCCATTGTTCTCGCCACGTGTTCGTATGCCGAAATGGCGGCCACCTCGGAGCAGTCAATTAACTTGCGGTTTTCGTGCAGTTACTCAGAGTTCTAATTGCTACCCAGGGTGGTCTTCTTTCGGTAAACTGACTATTTTGCCGAACAAGGGAATGTAACGAAATGAAAGTAACAAATTAACTAGTAATAAATCCAACGAATACAGTAGCAGGGAGGGAAAGAACCAAATGAGTGGAGGGTGATTCTTCACACATACCTATGGATTCGTGAAGAGATGTAAGAGGGGCTAGAATTGGTCAGTGCTTTATAGGTATGGGTTAGCACTTTGAATTGACTCCCATAGGATACAGGAAACCAATGTAAGGACTGGCAGAGGGGTGAGGTGTGATTGGACCCACTAGAGAGGAAAATCAGTCTGACAGCGGCATTCATTACAGACTGTAGCGGGGCAATATGGCTTTTGGAGAGGGTTACAATAATCCATGCAGGGAATTACTAGAGCATGGACAAGCTCCTTGGTAGCATCTTGTGTAAGAAAGGGGCGGATGTGGCCTATGTTTTTAAGTTGGAATCTACAGGATTTGTCAACAAATTGGATGTGAGGCTCAAAGGTGAGGCCAGAGTCAAGTATGATGCCACGACAGCACTTGAAAGGATGGACTTATGTGGATATCACTGACTTGAAGGGAGAGCGAGAGAGGAGGATCAGTATTAGGAGGAAAGACAAGGAGTTCAGTTTTAGAGAGATTGAGCTTAAGAAAGCGTGAGGACTCCAGTCAGAGATGGAAGAAAGGCAAGCAGTGACACGTTGCAGGACGGCAGGGGAGAGGTCCGGGGAGTATATATATATATATATATATATATATATATATATATATATATATATATATATATATATATATATATATATATATATATATATAAAATTATTTTTTCGGTGGTAGTGGAATCCAAGAGAGGCAGTATAAAGAGAAAATAGAAGGGGACCAAGGACAGAGCCTTGGGGAACTCCAACTGAGACAGGACGAGGAGAGGAGGTATCCTTGGAAAAGGAGACACTAAATGAGTGTTGGGAGAGATGAGAGGATAGAGTCACAGAGACAGAGCGATTGAAGAGTTTGAAGGAGGAGAGCATGATCAAAGGTGTCAAAGGCCGCAGAGAGGTCAAGGAGAATTAATAGGGAGTAGTGACCTTTTGGATTTAGCTGCGATTTAGGTAATTAGTAACTTTTATAAGAGCAGTCTCAGTAGAGTGGAGAGGGTGGAAGCCAAACTGAAGAGGGTCAAGGAGAGAGTTGGAATTGAGGAAGCGGGACACACTGGTAAAGACAAGTCTTTTCCCAAAAGCTTTAAGGAAAAAGGGAGCAGCGATATGGGACGATGGTTAGAGGAGGAGGTTGTAGGATCATATCCAGCTGATAACATGAGGTAACAAATCTATCCTAACAGAGAAACCATTTAACATCAGTCACCTTCTCATCGTACAGGCATACATGGAGGCCACGGCCCTCAAGTGCGTGGAAAATTCTTACCAGAAATCTGTGGAAGATCTGAACAGCACCAAAATCAACCCAGTGGGAGTTGGAGAGCGCCAGTGGTATTACCAGACCTGCACAGAGTTTGGATACTGTATGTACCACTGACAGATCAGATATGCACAGATTATATATGTTTAATGAAATGTCTGATCCTTTTTCCGATTCCTCTGCAGATCAGACATGTGAGGACAGCTCTTGTCCGTTCTCCCCACTCATCACCCTCTCCTCCCAACTGGCTCTCTGCCCTCGCATATTCCAGATCCCGCTGGAGTCTGTACAGAAATCTGTCCAATTCACCAATGAGTTCTATGGATCAAATCATCCCAAATCCAGCAGAATCATCTTTGTTAATGGTACAACAGCAGTCCCCCTCCCAGCATCACAATGTACTAATGACAGTGACACGTTTATGGGGCTGTTCCCTCCCAGGGTCACAGCATACTAATGACAGTGACATGTTTAATGGTCAGTCCCTCCCAGGGACACAGTATACTAATGACAGTGACATGTTTAATGGACAGTCCCTCCCAGGGTCACAGTGTACTAATGACAGTGACATGTTTAATGGTCAGTACCTCCCAGGGTCACAGTGTACTAATGAGAGTGACATGTTTAATGGCGTATTCTCCACTTTCTGAAAGTTGTATTGTAATTTCTGTTTGCTGCAGGCGATATAGATCCATGGCATGCACTCAGTGTTTTGAAGAATCAGTCTCACTCAGAGGTCGCCATCTTCATCAATGGGACTGCGCACTGTGCGAACATGAGCCCTTCACGTCCCAATGACCCACCTTCTCTGCAGAAAGCAAGAGAGGTCCGTATGCAAATTGTTGAATCTTCTCTCATTGTCTATACAGGAACCCTGAAACATTCCAACTTATTGAACTAGTCTTATGTTCACCTTACGTTAACTTTTTTTTTTTTCCCCCTCCAGGAAATTGCAGTTCAAGTCGCTAACTGGTTAAAATCTGCTCGGCGAGATGTGGAAATTGCTGGACCTTAAATGTGCACTTAATGAGGCTGCACAGCCTACAAACCAAATGTGCCAGATTTACACTGGAAGCCTTTTTTAAATCTTTTAACGTGGTTTGTAACCCATTGCTGCTAGGAAATTTTATGTCTATGCAATAATGTTTATATTTTACCAAAAGTGTGTTTTACAAATAGGGAGGGAGGACTACTGTGAAAGCAGAGTATTGAACAGGGAAAATGGGAACTTCCAGCATGTTTAACCCTTTGCTGTTCAAGCCGGCACAATCATACTTAAACAAATGGAAGGGTGTGCAGAGCGCAGTAACTTTTGTCTTCACTCCGGAACCAACACCACTGTCCAGGATGATACAAGGCGTTTGCAGTTCCTAAACCGTCTGCTTTAAAAATAATTTATTCGTAGTGATTCGATTGTCATTACTACTTAGTGGAAAAACACAGGGTAACCGCTGGTGTCTGGCTTTATAATGTCATTTAAATATTCTGATACTTAAAGAAACTCTCCAAGCACCATAACCACTCCTGCACTGGCAGCCTCTCCCTAATGTCAGTAGTCAAACCATTTAGTAATGCTTTTTACTTGATCCTGGGGACTGCTGACCGCCGCTCTCCCGCTTCCTTAATGTCAGAATGAAATCTGGAAGATAAACTGCGCAGTGGAGGACAAGCTCATTGGCCAACAGCGTTAGTTGATCAATCTCAGCCAATGAAGAAAGCCTAGTGGATCTATGAAGATTCTTCCGGCAGAAAGGAGGTGTGGAGCTGTGCCCAGTGAGCCCCAGAAAACTGTAACCAACATTACAATGGAGGGTGCCAGGGGACGCTGGAGTGGTTACGGCACTTGGGAAGTTGTTTTAAAAAAAAAAAAAAAAGTCAAGGATTTTTTAAATCAGAACTGTACTATAAAATTCTGAGAAAAGGGATAAAAGTGGTTTGAGCATTTTATTAAACAAACTTGTAAATTTTATTACAAAATCTAAATATGATTCAGAATTAGCATTGTAATGATTTACAATCATTAATATTTAATGGAGGATGATTTACTTTTTTATTAAATATAAATTAAACCAAAACAAGTTACTTTTTAAAATGTCTAACAGAAAAAAAACTATTTTATAAAAAAAAAAGATTTAAACATGTGCACACTGTTTTACACAGGACCATTTACCACGAGTTTGATATTTGATTCCTTCATGCGTTGTCCCCCCTTCCTCCCCCATGTGTGGGAATTCTGGAATTTCTCAATAAATGTATTTTGTATCTCTGCTGATTTTATAATATGTATTCCCCATTTTAATTACGGTTATGGTAAAATGAAAAGAAAGTGACCATTGCATTGTATTTATCAATCTCCTGTTTCTGATCATGTTTGGACGTTTCTCCCCCACAGTTAAGAAAGTTAAGTGGAAAGGTTCTTTTTCTAACATCGCCTGAACTTTTAAGTTTTCCTGAAGTCTGAATGGTGCTGATTAAATGTTTGCAAATAATAATTACTGGTTTTAATGTTTGTTCAGTTTTTTTGTGTAAACAGCTTTCTGCTAATAAAAGGATATTTTTGTACCAATTCAAAATATTTCACTACTTTCTCTCCAGGGACCACAAACCAATGTATTAATGCATTTTCAAATAATCGAATTTAGTAAAACATCCCTCAATATCTTGTAAATTATGAACCCTACAAAAACAAAGCTAATTTCTGCAAAGAGAAGTCATGGGTAATTGTGGTAGAAAATCTGGAGTACATCCAGGGATAGTGTACCATCAGAGATGGTAAAAGACATGGTGAATACAAAATGGAAACTTACATATTTATCGAACCATTGATCTATTAACTGACCTATCTTGGCCCAAAAAATAGGTATGGGTAGGTACTACAAAACAATATATGGGGGAGGGTCTGGGGCAGGATACCACATAACGTGACGCTAGCTCTGTTTATTAGTGACCCATGGGACCGGTTACTACATAATGTGACACTAGCTCGGTTTATTAGTGACCCGGGGGGCCGGTTACCACGTAACGTGACTCTAGCTCTGTTAGTGACCCGGGGGACCGGTTACCACATAACGTGACTCTAGCTCTGTTTATTAGTGTCCCGGGGGACGGGTTACAACATAACGTGACTCTAGTTCTATTTAGTAGTGACCCGGGGGATCGTTTACCACATAACGTGACTCTAGCTCTGTTTATTATTTGCCCGGGGGACTGGTTACCACATCACGTTACTCTAGCTCTGTTTATTAGTGACCCGGGGGATCAGTCACCACATAACGTGACTCTAGCTGGGTTTATTAGTGACCAGGGGGACCGGTTACCACATAACATGACTCTAGCTCTGTTTATTAGTGACCCGGGGGGCCGGTTACCACATAACGTGACTCTAGCTCTGTTTATTAATGGCCCCGGGGACCAGTTAACACATAACGTGACTCTAGCTCTGTTTATTAGTGGCACGGGGGGCCGGTTACCACATAACGTGACTCTAGCTCTGTTTATTAGTGACCCGGGGACCGGTTACCACATAACGTGACTCTAGCTCTGTTTATTAGTGACCCGGGGACTGATTACCATGTCACGCTACTCTAGCTCTGTTTATTAGTGGCCCGGGGACCGGTTACCACATAACATGACTCTAGCTCTGTTTATTAGTGACCCGGGGACCGGTTACCACATAACGTGACTCTAGCTCTGTTTATTAGTGACCCGGGGACTGATTACCATGTCACGCTACTCTAGCTCTGTTTATTAGTGGCCCGGGGACCGGTTACCACATAACATGACTCTAGCTCTGTTTATTAGTGACCCGGGGACCGGTTACCACATAACGTGACTCTAGCTCTGTTTATTAGTGACCCGGGGACTGATTACCATGTCACGCTACTCTAGCTCTGTTTATTAGTGGCCCGGGGACCGGTTACCACATAACGTGACTCTAGCTCTGTTTATTAGTGACCCGGGGACCGGTTACCACATAACGTGACTCTAGCTGGGTTTATTAGTGACCCGGGAGATCAGTCACCACATAACATGACTCTATCTGGGTTTATTAGTGACCAGGGGGACAGGTTACCACATAACGTGACTCTAGCTGGGTTTATTAGTGACCAGGGGGACAGGTTACCACATAACGTGACCCTAGCTCTGTTTATTAGTGACCCGGGGAACCGGTTACCACATAACATGACCCTAGATCTGTTTATTAGTGACCCAGGGGACTGGTTACCCCATGACGTGACTCTAGCTCTGTTTATTAGTGACCCGGGGAACCGGTTACCACATAATGTGACCCTAGATCTGTTTATTAGTGACCCGGGGGACCGGTTACCACATAACGTGACTCTTGCTCTGTTTATTAGTGACCGAGGGGACCGGTTACCACATAACGTGACTCTTGCTCTGTTTATTAGTGACCCGGGGGACCAGTTACCACATAACGTAACTCTAGCTCTGTTTATTAGTGACCAAGGGGACCGGTTACCACATAACGTGACTCTAGCTCTGTTTATTAGTGACCGAGGGGACCGGTTACCACATAACGTGACTCTAGCTCTGTTTATTAGTGATCCGGGGGGCCGGTTACCACATAACGTGACTCTAGCTCTGTTTATTAGTGACCTGGGGACTGGTTACCATGTCACGCTACTCTAGCTCTGTTTATTAGTGGCCCGGGGACCGGTTACCACATAACGTGACTCTGGCTCTGTTTATTAGTGACCCGGGGACCGGTTACCACATAACGTGACTCTAGCTCTGTTTATTAGTGACCCGGGAGATAAGTCACCACATAACGTGACTCTAGCTGGGTTTATTAGTGACAGGGGGACAGGTTACCACATAACGTGACTCTAGCTCTGTTTATTAGTGACCCGGGGGACCGGTTACCACATAACATGACCCTAGATCTGTTTATTAGTGACCCAGGGGACTGGTTACCCCATGACGTGACTCTAGCTCTGTTTATTAGTGACCCGGGGACCGGTTACCACATAACGTGACTCTAGCTCTGTTTATTAGTGACTAACTAGCTCTGTTTATTAGTGACCCGGGGGACCGGTTACCACATAACGTGACTCTAGCTCTGTTTATTAGTGACCGACCGGTTACCACATAACGTGACTCTAGCTCTGTTTATTAGTGACCCGGGGGACCGGACCGAGGGGACCGGTTACCACATAACGTGACTCTAGCTCTGTTTATTAGTGATCGAGGGGACCGGTTACCACATAACGTGACTCTAGCTCTGTTTATTATTGACCCGAGGGACAGGTTACCACATAACGTGACTCTAGCTCTGTTTATTAGTGACCGAGGGGACCGGTTACCGCAAAACGTGACTCTAGCTCTGTTTATTAGTGGCCCGGGGGACCAGTTACCACATAACATGACCCTAGATCTGTTTATTAGTGACCCAGGGGACTGGTTACCCCATGACGTGACTCTAGCTCTGTTTATTAGTGGCCCGGGGACCGGTTACCACATAACGTGACTCTAGCTCTGTTTATTAGTGACCCGGGGACCGGTTACCACATAACGTGACTCTAGCTGGGTTTATTAGTGACCCGGGAGATCAGTCACCACGTAACATGACTCTAGCTGGGTTTATTAGTGACCAGGGGGACAGGTTACCACATAACGTGACTCTAGCTGGGTTTATTAGTGACCAGGGGGACAGGTTACCACATAACGTGACTCTAGCTCTGTTTATTAGTGGCCCGGGGACCGGTTACCACATAACGTGACTCTAGCTCTGTTTATTAGTGACCCGGGGGACCGGTTACCACATAATGTGACCCTAGATCTGTTTATTAGTGACCCGGGGGACCGGTTATCACATAATGTGACTCTTGCTCTGTTTATTAGTGACCGAGGGGACCGGTTACCACATAACGTGACTCTAGCTCTGTTTATTAGTGACCGAGGGGACCGGTTACCACATAACGTGACTCTAGCTCTGTTTATTAGTGATCCGGGGGGCCGGTTACCACATAACGTGACTCTAGCTCTGTTTATTAGTGACCTGGGGACTGGTTACCATGTCACGCTACTCTAGCTCTGTTTATTAGTGGCCCGGGGACCGGTTACCACATAACGTGACTCTGGCTCTGTTTATTAGTGACCCGGGGACCGGTTACCACATAACGTGACTCTAGCTCTGTTTATTAGTGACCCGGGAGATAAGTCACCACATAACGTGACTCTAGCTGGGTTTATTAGTGACCAGGGGGACAGGTTACCACATAACGTGACTCTAGCTGGGTTTATTAGTGACCCGGGGGACCAGTTACCACATAACATGACCCTAGATCTGTTTATTAGTGACCCAGTGGACTGGTTACCCCATGACGTGACTCTAGCTCTGTTTATTAGTGGCCCGGGGACCGGTTACCACATAACGTGACTCTAGCTCTGTTTATTAGTGACCCGGGGGACCGGTTACCACATAACATGACCCTAGATCTGTTTATTAGTGACCCGGGGGACCGGTTACCCCATGACGTGACTCTAGCTCTGTTTATTAGTGACCGAGGGGACCGGTTACCACATAACGTGACTCTAGCTCTGTTTATTAGTGACCGAGGGGACCAGTTACCACATAACGTGACTCTTGCTCTGTTTATTAGTGACCCGGGGGACCGGTTACCACATAACGTGACTCTAGCTCTGTTTATTAGTGACCGAGGGGACCGGTTACCACATAACGTGACTCTAGCTCTGTTTATTAGTGGCCGAGGGGACCGGTTACCACATAACGTGACTCTAGCTCTGTTTATTAGTGATCGAGGGGACCGGTTACCACATAACCTGACTCTAGCTCGGTTTATTAGTGACCCGGGGGGCCGGTTACCACGTATCGTGACTCTAGCTCTGTTTATTAGTGGCCCGGGGGGCCGGTTACCACATGACGTGACTCTAGCTCTGTTTATTAGTGACCCAGGGGTCCGGTTACCACATAACGTGACTCTAGCTCTGTTTATTAGTGACCCGGGGGGCCGGTTACCACATGACGTGACTCTAGCTCTGTTTATTAGTGACCCGGGGGGCCGGTTACCACATAACGTGACTCTAGCTCTGTTTATTAGTGGCCCGGGGGGGGGCGGTTACCACATAACGTGACTCTAGCTCTGTTTATTAGTGGCCCGGGGGGCCGGTTACCACATGACGTGACTCTAGCTCTGTTTATTAGTGGCCCGGGGGGGGCCGGTTACCACGTATCGTGACTCTAGCTCTGTTTATTAGTGGCCCGGGGGGCCGGTTACCACATGACGTGACTCTAGCTCTGTTCATTAGTGACCCAGGGGTCCGGTTACCACATAACGTGACTCTAGCTCTGTTTATTAGTGACCCGGGGGGCCGGTTACCACATGACGTGACTCTAGCTCTGTTTATTAGTGACCCGGGGGGCCGGTTACCACATAACGTGACTATAGCTCTGTTTATTAGTGGCCCGGGGGGGGGCGGTTACCATGTATCGTGACTCTAGCTCTGTTTATTAGTGGCCCGGGGGGCCGGTTACCACATAACGTGACTCTAGCTCTGTTTATTAGTGGCCAAATAATTTATGTTAGTTATTTTGCTAAAATACACTTTTTCTGACAGAATTTGTGTTTTAGTAAATTTGATAATTGCAAATCGCTGAGAATTCGCACATTTTAGTAAATGACCACCAGTGATCTCTCCAGGTTTGTCCCATCTCCTCCCCTAACCCCGCCCCAATGCTAGCCCCGCCCCTGCTAGCCCCGCCCACACACCAACGCGGAAGCAACAGCGTTATAAAGCCACGCCCACATATGGTAGGGAAAGTTGACACAACACGTGCTTCCTCGTCACCCCTGGCCGGCTGTCACGTAACTGGAATCCAACATGGCGGCGCCCAGACTGGTAACTGCTGTGTGTTATACACAGAGAGAGCTTTATATAGAGATACAGCGTTATACACAGAGAGAGAGAGCTTTATATAGAGATACAGCGTTATACACAGAGAGAGAGAGCTTTATATAGAGATACAGCGTTATACACAGAGAGAGCTTTATATAGAGATACAGCGTTATACACAGAGAGAGCTTTATATAGAGATACAGCGTTATACACACACAGAGTGAGAGCTTTATATAGAGATACAGCGTTATACACACACAGAGAGAGAGCTTTATATAGAGATACAGCGTTATACACACACAGAGAGAGAGCTTTATATAGAGATACAGCGTTATACACACACAGAGAGAGAGAGCTTTATATAGAGATACAGCGTTATACACACACAGAGAGAGAGCTTTATATAGAGATACAGCGTTATACACACACAGAGAGAGAGCTTTATATAGAGATACAGCGTTATACACACACAGAGAGAGAGCTTTATATAGAGATACAGCGTTATACACACACAGAGAGAGAGAGCTTTATATAGAGATACAGCGTTATACACACACAGAGAGAGAGCTTTATATAGAGATACAGCGTTATACACACACAGAGAGAGAGCTTTATATAGAGATACAGCGTTATACACACACAGAGAGAGAGCTTTATATAGAGATACAGCGTTATACACACACAGAGAGAGAGCTTTATATAGAGATACAGCGTTATACACACACACAGAGAGAGAGCTTTATATAGAGATACAGCGTTATACACAGAGAGAGAGAGCTTTATATAGAGATACAGCGTTATACACACAGAGAGAGAGCTTTATATAGAGATACAGCGTTATACACAGAGAGAGAGCTTTTTATATAGCGCTTTATATACAGAGATACTGTGTTCTATAGAGAGCTTTATTCATATAGAGAGATCTATACAGAGACACTACTAGTCCTTTCTGTATAATACATATAATTGTTTCACTGTGATCTACCTGCAGCTTCAGATGCCCAGAATACTACCTCACTTCAGACTCTTGCAGACTCCCAGGACCCTGCCTCTTGTTGGATGGAGAGACTCACGACACAGCTCGTCCTCCTCGCTTCCCTCAATCAAACACAGAATCCTGCATTCTCTCAACAATTATTATCATGACATTGAAACTGTACTAGAATGGAGCAGCCGTTTTAAGACCTGGAACCTGCGCAGGAAGAATGCGTGCGTTGTGATGCTCGTGAATACATCTATCGTAAACGACACTAACGAGGCACTCATAGTTCTCAGCTGAGCTGTACATTGAGTAGATATTGTGAGGGGTATTTGCTAACAATCAGAGCTTGTATTGAGCACCAGTGAATTAGCACACATGGCCTGTAAGATTTGGTGGTTAATTAGACGTCTTTTATTTTCCATCATACTGGGCACTATCTGCTAATGATAAACATATTGCACAATATTAATGTCATATTCTGAATGTAAGAATTTAATATTTGGTAAAAATAAAATCGGAAATAAGTTTACAGATTGGAAGGAGAGTTCACAGGGAGAGAGCCATATGAAATTAAGAGCTCATTAATTAAAACTTAATGAGTGTGGATATGCTTTTAACGGAGCCATAGTGGGCAACCTCACACTATTCTGTGCACTGCACACAAGTAGCAGTGATTCCTCCTTGTGTTCACATTGATTCCTTCTCTGGTTTTTGTTCATATTATGGCAAATCTAACTAACCTGTATTACCCTTAGGCATTATGCGTACACCGAACGCCTCTATGGACCGTATGCTGCAGCTGCCTATTATGCGCTCTCTAAGAAGGGAGGAGTGAAGTACGTATCTAAGATTGATTCATAGATGATTTAAAACAGAAGAAGAAAGAGAGAATATGGTAGAGGGAAGGGCAAAACAAGAAGAGAAGGGAAATGGAGGATAAGGAAGAAGAGAATTAGATGGGGGTGGGGGGAAAGAATAGATAACATGAAAGTAAGAAGGGGAAACAGGTCAAAGGGAGAAGGAAATGATACAAAATTAAGATATAACAGAAGTAAAAAATGACAAAACAACATATATTAGATTTATATAATTCACATTTTATATCTCAGCAAATAATAGTCCTTTTTGCTTATAGATCCTGATATACCTGGAGAGAATCTTTCTCGCATTATAACATTGTTAATAATTGCATTAAGTATTAATCCATTTTTGCCTAAGATATACTTATCTTCTATTTAAGTTTTTGTAATGGTCTTTTTGTAGAAATGATTAAAAAAAATTAATTATTTTTTTGGGGGGTAGTTCATTTTACAGAGCAAATGTTGAAAACTTCTAAAGCAAGTTAACATCTGATTGAAAATTAAGACTTTTTAAAAAAAAAATTTCTGGAGGCTGTGTGAGTCACAGTCAGGGGAGGTGTTACTTGGGCTGCATAAATCACAACAAAAGTGATTTAACTCAAATTGGCAGAGAATTTAATTCAATAAAGTTGTTTTGGTGACTATAGCACTCCTTAAACACCCACATCGTACGAGCATCATACAGCTTATTAATACGGGGCTGGCTCAGCGCCTGTGTATTGTCCTATATATTTTGTCTCATGATGTCTATTTACACTTGCATTAGACTATATATTGTAGACACATTTGGGAGTTTTTCCTATGATTTTTCAGGTAAATCTTTGGTTCTCACTCCTCTTATCCATCTCCCTGCAGGTTTAAGGGTCACATCGATTGGCACCGGGCGGACAGGAAGGGGCGTTTCAGCTGGGATTTTATGCAATATAAAGATGTGCCTCTGGAGGGCATTGACCTGAGCAATTCACCCCTAACCTTTAGAGGTCTGGATAACATAGGTGAGTGATAACCCTGCAAATCCAGCTTGTTTCATGAAAAATCTGTGAATTGCTACATATAAACCAAGATTGCTGTGTCATCTATGTGATGGACCCGCTGGCACTCCGACCGAGTACCTCCGCCAATCGATGCTCCTAGTGCTTGCAGAGGACTTCAAGCACTCCAACCGACACCATCAGCACTGCAGACTTATCCCATCCCCCAAGCATGAGCCAAGGCTTCAAGAAAGGCTCAAGCAGGTCTGTTTTAATGAGCACACAAAGCAACAGCACTCACGCAGCAAAAAACAACCCCTCCTCAGAGGAAAACAAACTGACAGTTAAAGACAGACAGCGTTTGGAAATATGACAGTTATTAAGGGTTTTTAAACTGGTGTTCTAGGAGGGAGGGGAATAAAACAGTAAAACTAAGTCCATAAAACAGGGTTTTTCTTCACACTCTGCATCCGAAGTGCATAGCAAAACTGCAGATCCTTTGTCAGAGCATTTAAAGGGCCAGAACCAGTCTAATAAAATCCACTATGCTCAAATAACATACAGTTGAAATACAGGCAATAATCAATGCAAAAGTCTCTTGTGGTTGCTTCTGCCACAATATAGATTAGCAGCCATTTTGTTTTACATTTTACCATCTTGTATCACTGTATATATTCAGTCTATTTTATAAGAACTGTACTATGAACTGTGGGAGAGGAAGCAGATGTTCCAGGTGAGGAGAAATTTACAAAAACATAAAAAGTGCGAGTTAGAAATAATGTGTGAATTAGCTGCACGTTGATAACACTCCTTATGTACTGTCGGCCCTGCTTATTGAGGTGACAGAATCTCTGTACATAGCTGGGATTTATTAATTAAATTGGGAATTGCCGAAAGGAATAAAAGCACCTCCAGCTTTTTATCCATTTCCACTATATTTTGCCTGAAATCTATAGAGCTGGCTGTAGATGGCTTATCTCTCTGTACGGATGTGGCGAAACCGACCTTGCCACTGGGCATTGGAGAAGATGGATTGCCAGCCTCCTGCCATGTGACTATGGCCCCTGGGATGAATTGCTCTTTAAAGACATGATTTGGGCATAATGGATTTGTGTTGTGCTGCTGCTGGCCCTTTAACTGCCAGAGGAGGGATTTGTGCTTTTAAACTGGCACTTCAGATGCAGTCGAAGTGGCCGCCATTCGAAAACCGAACACGTGGCGGCGTCCATGTTAATGTAGTGGAACGCGGTCAGCGGTGCGTGCCACTGAATCTATGGAACTAAAATCGGCTACACATTTACACGAACACCGCTGACCGTTACCTTCTCAGGAACTTCGACTGGAATCGAAGTGCGTTCGACAATTCTAACACGCTGTTAGACTGGGCTATTTGCACGAACTGCCTTGTTCGTGCATTCGAATGGGACTTAGACACTTTTCTGTGTGAAATTGACTGACCGCACAGCCCAAATCTATGGAACTCTTTGGGCATGAAAATGTGCTTACGGTCGGTCAAATAAGACTTTCCCTTAACTTTTTAACCCAGAACCGATTGCCCTGATTTTTTGAGTGTGTATATTTCAAGCATGCTGATTCTGAAAATGTATGTTTTATGTGAATGGCATGTATATTTTGGAAGTTATTAATATTTTGTAAAAACTGTATTTCTCTGCCTGTGATAATTATATTAAAGGACCACTATAGTGCCAGGAAAACATACTTGTTTTCCTGGTGCTATAGTGCCCTGAGGGTGCCCCCACCCTCAGGGTGCCCCTCCCGCCAGGCTCTAAGGGGTTAAACTTACCTTTCTCCAGCGCCGGCCGGGAGCTCTCCTGCCTCTTTCCGTCACCGGCTGAATGCGCGGCAAGAGCCGCGCGCGCATTCAGCCAGTCCATAGGAAAGCATTATCAATGCTTTCCTATGGACACTGGCATCTTCTCACTGTGAAAATCACAGTGAGAAGCGCAGAAGCGCTCTAGCGGCTGTCAATGAGACGGCCACTAGAGGCTGGATTAACCCATAGGTAAACATAGCAGTTTCTCTGAAACTGCTATGTTTACAGAAAAAAGGTTAATCCTAGCTGGACCTGGCACCCAGACCACTTCACTAAGCTGAAGTGGTCTGGGTGCCTATAGTGGTCCTTTTAACCATTGTGTTCATTAATCATATCACAGGCAGTGGGGAGGATTTTGTGTGGGAGTGTCTGTGTGTATTGTACAGATCGATTGGTTGTATTTCAAAGCCCTGTGGGCAGTACTATGTTTGTGGATTGTGAATAAAAGAGGCTGTATGTGTCAGTACAGTCAGTTCTACTTCACCCTCAATCTGAGTCCTGTCTATTATTGGGGGAATCTGCTACAAGGGATTGCTATGCTCTGCATATTCCCTTGCTATAATCATTGAGCTCTTGTAAGAGCTTGTTCCTGTCTTGCTCTCTGAAGGAGTCTACGGTGGTTATGGTGTCGGCTGGAGTGCTTGGAGCCCTCAGGAAGCGCTAGGAGCATCCTTCAACTGAGGTACCCAGTCGGGGTGCCCGTCGATCCGTTACAACGGATGATAGAGTTGGTGATATAGATATTGTCTCTCTCTGTATGGATGATAGAGCTGGCTATAGATGGCGTATTTCTCTGTACGAATGATAGAGCTGGTGATGTAGATGACGTATCTCTCGGTATAGGTGATAGAGCTGGCGATATGGATAGTCTCTCGGTATAGGTGATAGAGCTGGCGATATGGATAGTGTCTCTCGGTATAGGTGATAGAGCTGGCGATATGGATAGTGTCTCTCGGTATAGGTGATAGAGCTGTCAATATAGCGTGTGTTTTTTTTTTGGATAGACATTTTTTAGCTTTACAGGCGTAAATAATTCATGATTTATTTGCCAGGGATTCTTGATTGCAGACTTCCTGCAGCGCCCTCTGATAGTGTCTTTGTATAAGAGCAAGGGTTTGCTGGGACTGAGCTGACTTGTTTTCTATTTTCTAGTTTCTCTAACAGAGCTCCGGGAACTGTATCTCCGAAACTGCCCTCATCTCAACGATTGGGCTCTGAGCCGCCTGCACGTGTTTAAAGATTCGTTGGAAGTCCTGTCTCTGGCTGGGTGCCCTCATATCACTGAAAGAGGTCTGGCCACCTTGCACCATCTACAGTGAGTGTCACTTACCGCTCAGAGACTGTTTCTGCTGATTAACTGTTTAAGTACTGGATGTGTTCCCTGCTGCTCTCCAATAATGGCTATAGCAAATATAGTGACAGGACCAAGAGTCACTGCAATTCAGTGTGTCTGAATGGGCTTACTTGGGGGCCTTGCAATGAGGTCCAACTTACTGGGTACAAGCACGACAATAGGCAGAGTGTCCCAGGATCCGAGCTGGCAGCAAGGAATCTGGAACAGGAAGGATTTAGACTCAGTGACTGCATGCAGGTCTGTAACATCTCGCTGGACTGATGGCTCGGAGGGCGCCTCCTACTGGCTTACCTCCGTCATTGCTGTGTACACTACCACAATGAGAGATGCTTGTGACCTATTGCACAGTCATGTCAACAGGGAGTGTGCCAGATAGAAAGCAACAAACGCTCTTGGTCCACGAGGCAAATACTAAACATCTAATTCATCTTCGAGAGAGCAAGAAATGAAATAATGAAGTTAACACCTAGAGGATGTTTAGTACGTTACAAAGCGAAGGATTGAATTCTGTTCAGGCAGTGAGGTTGTATTTTAACATTCCAGCCATAATCACACACTCTGCTCATTTCTCTCTCTACCTACCACAGGAACCTTCAGCACTTGGACTTGTCCAACTTACCCTCTGTGCCTAACAAAGGGTTAATCAAGATTCTTCTGGAGGAGATCCTCCCTGGGTGTCAAATTGTGGGGTTGGATTATTTCGATGGACTGGAGGACACAGAGGGACAGCCTCTACTTATACCTGAGTTACGCCACTGACCAGGTGAGCTAGTCTGTCCGCTGCTGGCTGATTCAGCCATGCAATTATTATCCTGCTTTCTGTGTCTGGAAGATGGGCTCCAGAATTAACTTTTTTTGATTTTAAAGCCAGGCTTGGGCTGTGGTCATATCCTTCATGGATGGATTTACAATCTCTCCAGCAGGGCAGACTTTTTCTTCAAGGCACGTTGGGTAACATCTCTACTGTTTGGTCATTGATTCCACAGAAGACTCACTCAGTTGACCCTAAGTCTGCAGGATTACTTTACCTAAGAACAGAGAGGGACCATGCCGAGTTGATTTGTCTGTGGACCAACTGGTAGAGATGCCATGGATTATGTGGACAGCTGTCTATCTACTTGGCAGTAGAAGTTTATAGATATGACATTGGTGCCCAGGCAGACTGAACTTATAACATCAAGGCTGCCAGCTAGCTGAAGGGAGTTAACAGAGGGTCATGCCAGGCCATGGACCAGTGTTTATACAGATCTACCCTGTTCTGGAACCATATTTACAGTTTGCTTTTTGTTGAAATCCAGAGATGTAGCTGAAAACAACTTCTAGGAAATTCAGGTTTGTGATATTCAGAAGATGTCAGGATGCCGTGTTCAATGAAAATACACGGTTGGCTCACAATTTCCATTCTTTACAAGCCGACCGTTGTAATTTGTGAGAAGCTAGGTTTGGCTGAAAATACCACGGGCGCAAATATCTTCTAATCAGTCTGTGACTAAAAAGCGCAGGGTTTATGACGCGTGGCGCCGTGATCTTTTTAACCGTGCAGCACTGTCTATTTATATGATGCAATAAAGATTGTCATATGATAAAAAGAGGTGGTTATAGTGTGTAATGTATGAGTGCTCCACGCTGCATTCTTTCTGTAAATACGACACATTATAAGTGTTACACTGCGACCCAGTATGTAAACTGAGAGCAATGTGGCAACAAAACACCAGATTTTTCTTGTTATTGCAGACTGGGTATTCCAGAGTCCTCAGCGATGGTAACTCTGTTCCTCTAAAAATCCCCAACCAGCATATAACACCACACTTATAGACAGTTTAAAAATAAATGTGAAAAAGGTGTTCAAAGTTAACGAAAGAATAGCTGCAAATAGTCCCTAAAGACAATCATTTCTTTAAAAATAACATAAAAACACACACACTAGGGGTGCGCTTCAAAAATGAAATGATACTTCTTGTTGGTGTCTGAAATCTTCCAACAAGTGGAAGAACAAAAGAATAGTCTCCTCATTCTAGAGACTATATCTGGAGTAAAATTCCTAAAATGCTAAATGAATTGAGAAGACCTTCTCCTTCTCCATTAGAATGGGAACCATCTGGAGATGGACATTGAGATGGGGCTCCCATACTCTGACTGAGTAGCTTAGCGAGGTCTGCTTCCTTCCTGCTACCAGGGACCTTGGAGCACTTAAGGCCTCTGAGACCCTCTTCCACCGGACCAGTCCTTGGTGGTTATAGATTTCTGCAGTGGTTCTAGCTCTGGAGACTTTCTCTCCTGTAAAGCAGTGATTATAGCTGTGACAGTCTATCTGCAAGTAGCTGGGATGTCACTGCCAGGGTCCCCTTTCCACCCTGTGTTTATATCACAAGTGAATATAGCTTAGAAATTTATTGCCAAGATCGCTGTTCCACTCAAATAAAACCAGAGACTTCGTGAAGAACTGGTTTATTGGGACAAATTACACACTTCTATACCTGGGACCCCAACAGGGGCTCACCAGGAAAACCGTTTTTATTAGACATCTGGTGTGTTTGTACCTGATCAGGTAATTTTATTAATGGCCAGATGCCACCTTGGCCTAATAATATTTATTAGATAAAGTGTAACATTCCCAAATCAATGCCGATCCCTGGAAAGCATTTTTTTTTTCAGCGCACTCAGGAGATGTTTAGGCCGACTTAGCCAGATGTAAAGTTTCGACTGGGATGTGACCGTGTTATCTGGTGCAGAGTTCCACAGCGTAGGGTGGGAAGTCAGTCACCTAAAATGATGCTTTCTGTCAGTACATGGAGCTCCTTCAAGACCTTGGTGTCTTTCAATGCCTCACCACCTACTCTATCACCACTCCAAATAGCACCCTGTGTGGTGACTCTGGGACCAAGATCGCCTTCGACACAGTATTACCAGACCTGGGCAACTCCACGTTCTGATTAGGAGTTCCAGAGAGTTTGTGTTGCTCCCGGTCAAGCGTGCTGTGCCTCTGAGTTTCCTGACTGTCTGCAATGACTCCTGGGACACAGGAAAGGGACGCTGGGCCTGGAGGCACGGGCTGGAGAGGCAAATTTACTTCTTTTTAGAGGGAGGTGGTGGTTAGGAGCTAATTCAGACTCCTCCTCCACTCTTGTTTAATTTTATGACTCTGGATGTCCTCATGCATAGCGTGAGGTCGTTCAGCATCAGGTGATCAAACGTCGTCTAACAACCCAGAAACCCCTATAGTGGCTGTCTGGTAGACTGACGCTAGAGGTGGAGTTAACCCTCAAAGGTAAATATTGCAGTTTATTAAAAAGTACAATAATTACCTTTTGCAGGGTTAAGGGATCTGGGACGCTGCACCCAGACCACTTCAATGAGCTGAAGTGATCTGGGTGCATGTAGTGTCCCTTTAAGATAGCCCCAATTAACACAATAGGCTCCCTGCTGTGCCCTCACCGACTAAGAGGTATAATATACAAAATTACCTGCAGAAACCCCCTTCCCTGGACCTACATAATAGATATCCCTGGATAGCTCTTCACCGAGCACCCTTACTGTTCAAATAGTGCCGTGATTGGAGGATCTGTGCCCAAGCTACAGAGTGTTAAAGTTTTACCAGGTTGCGGCTATTCTCTGATGTGGCTCAGAGTACCATGTATGCGGCTGGTTTGTCCCTCCCAGTCTCACAAAACGTGGTCCTGGCACTCTGTGGAGGAAAGCACCCAACACATTATATATAACTGGATAGCTCTTTACCAAGTGCCCTTACTGTCCAAATAGTATCCTGATTGGTGGTCGGGGGACCGAGCAATACTCGATCAAATACCACTGGATCATGGCACAGACCCGATCTGGCAAACCGTTCCATAGTGTTTCAGGGTATCTCCTGGTTAGACGCTTGTAAGAATATTAAATAGTTAACTTGTTTATATGTATTTTATGCTTTTATAAGGTTTATAACATGATTATTGCTGACTGAAGGGATATTGAATACTTAAAGTCAATATGCTGACTGTGACAGACTAAGGTATTTCTTCTATAGGATGTAAGACAATGCTAAATTTCAGGATGTCTTGCCCATTCCGATTTTAAGGATATTCTTTTCCAGACGTATGCAAAAGCTTATCTTTCCATTGTCAGAATAACGTAATACAAGGAAGTAATAAATCTTATAGTCTGTACTGTATTTGCATATACCATGGCTAATGTAAGCAAACTATGTATAAAAGCCAGCTCTGGAATACACTCATTTGAGAGTCTTGTAAAGCTGTTGTCCGTGTGTTATTGCTTACAAATGATTCTCCATCAACGTTGATTATGGTGACCGAGGGATCGAGAACCGAGGGGATTAGAGTCCATTACAACAATAACCCTTTCAGCTTGGTGTCTAGAAGTGGGATAGAAGTTGGATCAGCAAAACCATTTGCGGTGAGTAGCCTTTTTGTGTCTTATTTGACGCTGATTGTCTATGACCCCCTTTGGTTCAGTAAGACTGTATCCAGTAGATAGGAAAGGTGTAAGGACTCTAGTTATATTGAGACTATAAGAGGTCTCCGGTTTATTAGACATTTGGTCTAAATATATAGGGGTTCTTGGTAACCCAGGTTAGTATCTAAGATAGATACAGGTTTTTGAGACCATAAAAGGTCTCCGGTTTATTATAGGGTTTTGGTAACCCAGGTTAGTATCTAAGATAGATACAGGGTATCTCAGGTAGATACAGGTTTTTGAGACCATAAGAGGTCTCCGGTTTATTAAGTCTATAGGTGTTCTGAGCAGCACGGTTTGTAGATCTTTAAGTATAACCCAAACTTCTCTTTCTCCCGGTCACCTTTGTTTGTCTTAAGTGTTTTTTGTGGGTGATTGATTGTCTATATTGGGGACACACTTTGGTAAGTTAGTAGTGTCCCCACTCTGAATCAGCAGTATGGGAAATGTGAGTTCAGGTCCTGAGTGACCAATATATGTATGTATATATGTATATATGTATGTATATATGTGTGTGTATATGTATATGTGTATATATAAGATAGCAGTACTTTTAAACAAATGGAGGTTTTAAAAATACATAGGGATTAAGGAGAGAACGCAGGTAACTTGTTTTTCTTTGGTTTTTACCATATATTGGGGCTGATGTGTACTGTAGTCCTTGCTGCTGTCCAGTAGTGATGGGAGTGAGCGCAGGACTTATCTTTCTGCAAGATAGCAGTACTGTATATTAGAAAAGAAATGACTCATAGGTTGTACCTGATAGACCTACTTAAATCTTTTTGCTTTATTCTTTCTGTCGCATAGAAGTATAAGTTTATTACTCTGTTTTATTGTAAGTTATTTCACATGGGAACTGTGTGCCTGGAATGATTGTTGCTTTAAAAATACTATAAGCCCACTACACTTATTATGAAAGTGGGATAGTGTAAATGTGTTACATTGTTTGCATGATGAGCTCAGTATATTTTATAACTGAGACAAAAAGTCACTTCAGTATTTGGAAGTTAATTCCCCATATGGGATTAATTGTATAGAAACACCAATCAGCACATCTTCCCTGCCCTGTGTGTTTGTTGCAAAGGATCCATACTAAATATGATTTTTGTTTGAAAATAACAGAGCAACATTTACATTTTCAGCGGTCCAACACATGCTTTATTTTGTACTGTAAACTAACCTTTTTATTGCGACAGGTTCCTTTTAAATGATCCAGTGTAATAACTACTGCTTGTGTCTTCTATGTCTCACATTATGTGTTCTTTTAAATTGTGGTATATAGCCTGAATCAGACATCATGGACAAAGGTTTTTACCTGTGTTACTAAGGGCTCTTGGAGACTGACCGGTCTAAAGGTTTGCCATGCCTTTAAAACATGGTATAGTATAAATTTTTTAAGTCTCTGAGAGTTCTGAAAGATTCAGGTGAAACCATGTCTGTTTAATCTGGTCCAGATGTTTGTTCAATTTCTATAGGATTTAAGTTGATGCAGCATCATCTCAGATTAGTTAATGGAAATTTTATACAAATAGTTGAGTTATGAGCGCGCTATATAAATGGATCCTTTCTTTATATATAATACTATAGTAGATTAAAGTAATGAAGTTAATTAAGAAAATGTACACATAAGAATCCCTAAAATAAATCTAAACTAAAATTGGTATACCTTCCAATAATATGTTCTGAATACAGCTGTTAACTGTTTATTCTGTGTAAATGGTGACTGTGATAATGTGTGATAAGTGTGCAGTTTAACTTGAAAGTAGTTTAATTTATATGTTGCTGTATTGTTTTAAATTATATGTGAATCAGTTTGTCACAGTCTAGTGATACTGATAAGAATGACAGCCAAATAACCTAGCAAATAACTGTTTTATTAGTTGTTGAATACTAGCGTTTTGGCCAAGAATAGTTGGAGATTTGGAGGTGTTAGTTTAAGATTGCTTTTATATTGTGTCTATCCGTGTTTCCTAGGAGGGAGACAGAGTGTGTAGTTGTGTGCCCATAAATGTGATTTCTGTATTGGCATATCTGCTGGGTACCCATTATGTGTTTCTACAAAGATATTGCTTTGTGAGATGACGTGTAATATTACATTGGATGCTGAGTATGAGTTATATGGTTTGAAATGAATTGGTGATTATGAGCTTAGTACTTCAGTAAGATGTGCTAAAATTTGGAACAAGGTGGAAGCTGAAATGTTGGGATTATGGAAGAATAAGCAGTCTATATTCACTGCTTTGGCATATAAGCAAGATGCAAAGGAAGAGATTGGTAATATGATTTTTGTAAAGAAATTTTACAAGTGTTGGAAGGATGAGGCAGGTTTGATGTCTGGAGATGATATAGATCTCTTTAAAATACAGTCATGCCTTGGTAATATGTTGCCACAGTATTATTTGCTTGTGAAACAATTGATTTCAGACTGGGCCAATTTGGATAGCTCAGATTTTCTTACCAAGGTTATAGAAAAGGAAAATGCAGGTTGTTTTGAATTAAGAAAAGATTTAGGAAAGTAAGGTTGCTTATTATGCTCAGGGATTGCCACCTACACAGGCTGAGAGCGAGGATGGGATGGAGCACATAAAGCCCGTGGAAGGGGTGGTCAAAGAGGGGCAAGGGGATGGAGACAGGGAAATCAGGGTTATAGGGGCAGGGGTAACCAAGGAGGAATAGACAGGAACACTTGTTTCAACTGTGGCCAATATGGCCACTGGAGGAATGAGTGTCCACACCCCAGGAAACCCCAGGAAACCCCAGGAAACCCCACACACCCCAACAACCCCACCTTTCTCAAAATATGCCCTGTAGGCAAGAACAACACCAGACCCACTCCCAACACCACTGGCCAGCATATCGCTTAGTTCAGGACTTTAGAGCCCTGAATAGTTTAATTGTGCCCATTTCACCCATTGTCCCTGATGTGACATCCCTCATTACAGCAATTCCACATGATGCCACTTGCTTCACTGTCATTGATTTAAGTAATGCATTTTTTCTATACCTATTGATCAAGAGATACAGCTACTTATGGTTTTTACTTTTTGAAGGCTGTCAGTTTACCTGGACACGCTTACCCAAGGCTATGTGGATTCCCCAGCTGTTTATTCGTTGGTACTCCAACATACTCTAAAAAACATGGACCACCGGTCATGGTTCCGTCCTTTTTGCAAAATGTTGATGATTTGTTGTTATGTAGCCCTAGCTATGAGGCAAGCACTGTGGATACTGTCAGCAACTGTAGGTCACAAGGTTGTTAAACACAAAATGCAATTGTGTAAATCAAAGGTTGAATACTTAGGTTTTGTTCTGGCTTTAGGCACCAGACAATTGAGTCCAAAACGTATTGAGGTCATTCAGAGGATTCCAACACCCACTACTCGGAAGGAGTTGCTCACCTTCCTTGGCATGATTAATTACTGCCACCAATGGATCCCTGAATGCTCCCATTATGACTCAATCCTAAGGGAGGCTGTACGTTCTGACAGCCCTGAAAATGTCTGCTGGTCACCAGACATGCTAGCTGCATATATTGCCCTGACAGTTGTTATTGTGCAAGCCCAGGCTTTAGGACTACCTGTGTATTGTAAACCATTTCATTTGTATGCTTGGGACAATTGTAAAACCATGGCCGCAGTCTGTGCACAAGAGCAAGGAGGCGGTATGCGTCCCATAGCATTCTTTTCCAAAGTAGTTCAAGCTCCGGTACAGGGTATGCCGGCGTGTCTCAGAGCATTGATAGCATGTGCAATGGCTGTTGAAACTGCTACTACTATCACACTAGGGCATCCTACAATACTTCATGCCAGTCACCAGGTCACTCAGCTGATAACAAATCTCACCACACAACACATGACAGCCCAGCACTTAAGTGGTTATGAGATTCTTTTTTTAAATACCCACAATCTGTCTTTTGGATTAAACAAGGTTTAGAGAAAGATCAAAATGATCTGTTCTCTAAAGAGGGGAGAATAGGCATACTTGAAGCAAGCTGCTTTATTTTCATCAGTCAGGCACATAGCAAGCACCATTCAATTCTTCATGAATTCATTTTATATTAGGAATCTCAGGCAGCATGTACAGTCGTTTGTAAGATTGTGTGAACGCTGCTCTTTTTACACACTTACAGATTGATTTTATTCATGTATCCAAAATTGGTAAGAAACAGCAATACTTACTGGTCATAGTTAATCAGTTTAGTAGATGGCATGAGGCCTTTGTGATATCTAGGGAAGATTCTAGTGAAGATTATTGTTACTGAAATTATTCCCCGGTATTGCTGCCCTCTGCAGATTGGCTCTGATAATGGCCCGGTTTTTGCAAGTGGGGTTGCCCAGGAACTTGCTAAATTCTTGCAAGTTACCTGGCAGTTTCATATACCCTATCATCCACAGAATACAGGGGTAGTTGAAAGGATGAATAGGACTATTAAGGAAAAGCCCAGAATTTACCCAGGAACATGGGTAAATTGGACTAGATATCTACCAGCTATTTTAGCTGAGATAAGAGTGATTCCTCACAAGGTGACTAAATTATCTCCATTTGAGATTTTGATGGGATGACCTTTTCCCACACCCTGGGCCAGGGAACCGCTTGTTATAATGTCTGTGGATTTACAGCTAATACAAGAACAATATGTACAGGAGTTGTTGATAAAACTGAATGGTATGTATGACAATGTTTCTTCGCAGTTTTCCCTTACCTTCACAGGAACCTACTCATTCATACCAGCCCGGTGACAAGGTGTATATCCGTCAGCTGAACAGGACCAAGAAAGGAGGATACCCTTTTGGACCACCTGCTACTGTGATTGCTGTAACCAGAACCGCTGTCCTCTCAGATTCCCATGACATCTGGATTCACGCATCCCGAGTGAAGCTGTGTCCAAAGAGGGGAACCAAGGAAGACAACACCACTCCTCGCTCGGAAACAGAAGAATTTCTCCTCAGCGAAGCGTCATGGCTTTTACACCATATCGTAGATTGAGAGGATCATACGTACCTGAGACCAAGATTATGTTGTGTGCTATGCTTTCTGGAGTTGTTATACTCCCTCTGATATTGTTCCTTGAATGCCATTATGAGTACAAGTCAATGGCAAGTTCTGGAAAAAGACTCTGACATGATGAACAATTCTTCAATACCCCCAGCCCAATTAGGCCTTAGCCCCTCATCTAGCATTCGTCACACACGCCCCCTCAAGAACCTTTTTCCACCACCTTTCTATCAGCATGCAATATGCAATCATTCATTCACTGAACGCATTTGGATGAATTGGACAAATAGTAACCCTTATAAGTACCAGTTACCCATATGGAATGTGTCCACAGCTAATGAAACCGATGCATTATGTTTGTTTAAAGGTTCACAGAAAATTGTTAGATCTTATAACGCAGAAATGTGCACAGTTAAGGTTGCATATCAATGTAAACAGACAGGCCTTATTACTTTTAATAATGATTATATAACTGGTATCATTAATTGGAGAAGGGGACAAATGTTAGTCATTATGAACAACACTACAATTGAGAACTATACACTACCTTATATTTTTACACCTTATTACTGTCCTTTATCCTCTACCATATAACCAAAAGTCAACAACGACACACACACACCTATTCCGTCCACATGTATTAATACAACTGCCTTCTTACAAGCTGTACATGTGTCATTAAAAATCACTACTCCTGTTGTAACATTATGTAACACAACAAACAAAAGGCAGAAAAGGGAATGGTATGACACACTGTTAGGAGGTGCTGGAACCACTATGGGTATACTAAATAGTTATAGATATGGAGACCCTCAAGAATAAGTTAAACACAGCCAGTATGCATATAGGGACTGGTTTTCATGCTACTGCAAACTGGGCTCCAATTGTTGTTAAATCACAGGTTACAGGATTGGATTTAGATAAATCAATGTATAATTATTTAGATAATTTAACTGTTGCAACTATGAAATTCACTAGAGGTCTAAGTAACTGGAGTACTTGTGCCATCAGGTATTTATGGATACAACAACAAGGATTGGCATTAGAAAACACACTAATGATTCCCAAACTAGAGAACATTAGAGGAAAGCGTAACCTCACAGATAATGAATGGTTACTTCTAAAACCCCAATCCAGTAAATGCAATGGATGGTTAACTGGTAATGTTTCACATTTTTCATGCTCATGCTATTTTACATTATATCATACAACATCAAAGGATGTTAAATTAGCTTGTCAATTTAACACATTACCAGTACCAGTTTATGATCTTTTTGCCAAGAATTTAACCTGGTGGGCACCCACATACACAGGGGACTATATTTTTCCCAAAGATAACATACACAGGTAGCCACACATATCCTAAAAGGAGAACTCCTTAAGGTGAGTTCACAAATTCAGAATGATTTAGCCCATCATTGGTACGATGCTTCACTGGTTGGTCCCCTACTGGATCCCAGATAATGAAATCATTCTTCTATCCTTTTGTTATTATAGTCCTGATTTTATTGTGTATGATTTTATATAACTGTCACCTTAGTTGTACATTGAGGAAGTGAGTACAGAAATTAATCCATAATGCAGAACAGAAACAATTAGAAATTCTCCTCTCTGCCACTGGAGGGTATCAACCCGTCTTTAAACTAGGCCTTAGGAATTACCACATGGGAATCGAGGTGAAGAAATTAATGAAAGTCCCGCAGGGAGTGACTAGCACCCCTGAAAATACCATGTGGAAGTTTCTCTGTCCTGGTAAGATTTTATCGATAAGATGAGCAATTGTTTTATTGCTCAAAGAGGGGAATGTAAGAATATTAAATAGTTAACTTGTTTATATGTATTTTATGCTTTTATAAGGTTTATAACATGATTATTGCTGACTGAAGGGATATTGAATACTTAAAGTCAATATGCTGACTGTGACAGACTAAGGTATTTCTTCTATAGGATGTAAGACAATGCTAAAATTTCAGGATGTCTTGCCCATTCCGATTTTAAGGATATTCTTTTCCAGACGTATGCAAAAGCTTATCTTTCCATTGTCAGAATAACGTAATATAAGGAAGTAATAAATCTTATAGTCTGTACTGTATTTGCATATACCATGGCTAATGTAAGCAAACTATGTATAAAAGCCAGCTCTGGAATACACTCATTTGAGAGTCTTGTAAAGCTGTTGTCCGTGTGTTATTGCTTACAAATGATTCTCCATCAACGTTGATTATGGTGACCGAGGGATCGAGAACCGAGGGGATTAGAGTCCATTACAACATTAACCCTTTCAACGCTCAATGTGCAGAACAGGTCCAGCTGATCGCCATGGTTCTGCAATTCCAACTGGGAGGCAGAATAAGCATCCAGGGGGTCTCCATAACCCCTTCCCATAGTGACGATAGCTTTTTTTTTTTTTTGGGTGGCTGTTGGGACCAGGCCCATTGTCCGTAGGTAGGAGTCTGGCCTTCATGCCTCTACAAAAGGTTTGAGCAAGGTCTTCTGCACCCCTTGTCTCCTACATTCTGTATGTGAATTGCTTGTCAGATATCCCCATTCTATAATTGTCCAGCGCCAATGAATATGTTGGCGCTATATAAATAATAATAATGTGTTTTTGGTTGTTTCAGACCCCCAGTTTATACATTTTCTATAGTTTCCAATAACAGAGCTAAACATTCCGAATACAGCGGTAAAGTCTGGAGATCAAAGAATATTGAAATAGTTCAGCACAGTGACTATGTCAAGCACACAGATTGAGGAGGTTCCCTCGCCGCTCAGTCGTGACTGTTACTTTATTGGTTGGGCCTTTGTCGTGTTTGGGACCCTCCTGAAGCAGCCTGTCTAAATAAAAGACCATTCTAGTACATGTTATGATGTGCGCTTCCATGTTTGTATAATTTCTTCAAATTCCCATTTACCCACCAAATAAGATTGTATCACTGAGCACTGTGTCATTATCTAGTCACTGCCTCTGAGTGTCACTGGGTCTCTTATTAATGGGAGCAGCTGGGAGATTTGGTACCTAGGGCTGGCTGAATGGATGGGGCAGGATATCTCTTTGTGTCAGGGCTGAGCCTTCCTTTTCTATTGTGCAGGATAATTGGCTTTGTTACGGAGCCTCATGGGAGACGAAGTTGGGAGCGAGACAGGGAGATGGAGCAAGGGAGGGAGGATGCTGAGTCTGGTGATCTGAGCATCTGAACCAGGGAAGAGAGGAGGACACGGCAGGGAGTGGCGGCCAGACAGAGCTGGGAACAGATGCTGGAATTAGCTCTACACATCGCTTTCAGGGTGAGTTTCTGCAAATCAGGGCACTTACTGGATATTCATGGTGTTACAGGGGCCCTTACTGGATATCTAGGGGTGTTAAAGGGGCCCTTACTGGATATCTAGGAGTGCTAAATGGGCCATTACTGGATATCTGGGGGTGTTACTGGGGCTCTTACTGGATATCTGGGGGTGTTACAGGGGCCCTTATGTGATATCTGGGGGTGTTACCGGGGCCCTTACTGGATATCTGGGGGTGTTACTGGGACCCTTACTGGATATCTGGGGCTTTTACAGGGATCTGTCTTAGTGAATATTAAGTGGGATTATAGAGGATTTCTGAATATTAATAGTTCCTGGTTGTTAATGGGAGGGGGATACAGGGGAATCCAGGCTATTAATGGTTAATGGGAGGGTGTTATAGGGATTCCAGGCTATTAATGGTTAATGGGAGGGTGTTATAGGGATTCCAGGATATTAATGGTTAGTGGGAGGGGATTCCAGGATATTAATGGTTAATGGGAGAGTGTTACAGGGGATTCCAGGCTATTAATGGTTAGTGGGAGGGTGTTGCAGGTGATTCCAGGATATTAATGGTTAATGGGAGGGGGTTACAGGTGATTCCAGGATATTAATGGTTAATGGGAGAGTGTTACAGGTGATTCCAGGATATTAATGGTTAGTGGGAGGGTGTTGCAGGTGATTCCAGGATATTAATGGTTAATGGGAGGGGGTTACAGGTGATTCCAGGATATTAATGGTTAATGGGAGGGGGTTACAGGGATTCCAGGATATTAATGGTTAGTGGGAGGGGATTCCAGGATATTAATGGTTAATGGGAGGGTGTTACAGGGGAATCCAGGATATAAATGGTTAATGGGAGGGTGTTACAGGGGAATCCAGGCTATTAATGGTTAATGGGAGGGTGTTACAGGGGAATCCAGGATATTAATGGTTAATTGGAGGGTGTTACAGGGGAATCCAGGATATTAATGGTTAGTGGGAGGGGATTCCAGGATATTAATGGTTAATGGGAGGGTGTTACAGGGGAATCCAGGATATAAATGGTTAATGGGAGGGTGTTACAGGGGAATCCAGGCTATTAATGGTTAATGGGTGGGTGTTACAGGGGAATCCAGGATATTAATGGTTAGTGGGAGGGTGTTACAGGAGATTCCAGGATATTAATGGTTAATTGGAGGGTGTTACAGGGGATTCCAGGATATTAATGGTTAGTGGGAGGGGATTCCAGGATGTTAATGGGAGGGTGTTACAGGTGATTCCAAGATATTAATGGTTAATAGGAGGGGCTTACAGGTGATTCCAGGATATTAATGGTTAATGGGAGGGGATTCCAGGGGATTCCAGGATATTAATGGTTAGTGGGAGGGTGTTACAGGGGATTCCAGGCTATTAATGGTTAATGGGAGGGTGTTACAGGGGATTCCAGGATATTAATGGTTAATGGGAGGGGCTTACAGGGGATTCCAGGATGTTAATGGGAGGGGCTTACAGGGGATTCCAGGATATTAATGGTTAATGGGAGGGGATTCCAGGGTGTTAATGGGAGGGGATTCCAGGGGATTCCAGGGTATTAATAGTTAATGGGAGGGTGTTACAGGGGATTCCAGGATATTAAAGGAACACTATAGTCACCTAAATTACTTTAGCTAAATAAAGCAGTTTTAGTGTATAGATCATTCCCCTGCAATTTCACTGCTCAATTCACTGTCATTTAGGAGTTAAATCACTTTGTTTCTGTTTATGCAGCCCTAGCCACACCTCCCTGGCTATGATTGACAGAGCCTGCATGAAAAAAAAACTGGTTTCACTTTCAAACAGATGTAATTTACCTTAAATAATTGTATCTCAATCTCTAAATTGAACTTTAATCACATACAGGGTCTAGCAAGCTATTAACATAGCCGGGGATAAGAAAATCTTAATTAAATAGAACTTGCAATAAAGAAAGCCTAAATAGGGCTCTCTTTACAGGAAGTGTTTATGGAAGGCTGTGCAAGTCACATGCAGGGAGGTGTGACTAGGGTTCATAAACAAAGGGATTTAACTCCTAAATGGCAGAGGATTGAGCAGTGAGGCTGCATGGGCATGTTCTATACACCAAAACTAACCATTAAAGGGACACTATAGTCACCTGAACAACTTTAGCTTAATGAAGCAATGGGACGGGGTTACAGGGGATTACAGGATATTAATGGTTAATGGGAGGGGGTTACAGGGATTCCAAGATATTAATGGTTAATAGGAGGGGGTTACAGGGTGTTATAGGGATTCCAGGATATTAATGGGAGGGGGTTACAGGGATTCCAGGATATTAATGGTTAATAGGAGGGGCTTACAGGGGATTCCAGGATGTTAATGGAAGGGGTTTACAGGGATTCCAGGATATTACTGGTTAATGGGACGGTGTTACAGGGATTACAGGCTATTAATGGTTAATGGGAGGGGGATTCCGGGATATAAATGGTTAATGGGAGGATGTTACAGGGGATTACAGGATATTAATGGTTAGTGCGAGGGGATTCCAGGATATTAATGGTTAACAGGAGGGTGTTTGTAGCGGATGGCATTGGGCTGTCCTCAAAATTTCGGTTTAATTGTGTATTTCATGTAATTATTCCCATGTATATCCATACTGTATGTAGCCTTTGTCAGATTGTTCGGTATTTTCATTCCGTTTTTCATATGAATGAAAATACCGAACCATCGGACCACCCCAGAGCGAAGTGTTTCCCTTGTTAAGCCTTTCACACCATGTAACCGTAAACTAATTGACCATATAATCGTTACTTTGTATGTATCTAGGTGGTCGCCGTTCGGCATATGAACAGCATGACGGCGGCCATTTTACCCAAGAAAATCTCAGCGGTGTTAGGTCGTCGAGTGTCTGGAACTCAAATCGGACACTCGATTACCCTAACACCGCTGAGACCTCCAGAACTTCGTAAATCCCGAACGGAGGGGCTAACCAGCCCCCTCGTTCGGTAAAATAAATGTCCCGAACAAGGGGATTGATACGAATGCAGGTTTAGCTCTGGACGGCAAGGATTTATATGCAATATATCTCCTGAACAGAGACCGACCGCAAGGCCAAATCGCATGGAGCCTTTTTCGGATACTACCTCGTGTGCGGTCGGTCAAATTGTCTCTACCACATAACTCCCGAACCCCTGGCCTGATCTGGGTGAATTTTGAATATGTTGGTCACCCAGATCAGGGCTACCAGGGGGTACCCATTGTATAACTCTATCTGACTGTTTTGGGGTACATCCAGAAATCGGGTAAAACTGTAGTATGTATAAGTGGATTATGTGTCACACTGAGGGGAGGAGATGTGTGGGAGGTGCCGGTTACACTATTGGATCCTGTACTAATTGATATGAATCCCTCCCTTGCATGGGAGAAAGCTTTAAAAGAAGGATGCTTGGAATAAAAGTTTAGTTCTGCCCCTGATGCTGTGTGTCGTCCAGTCATTGGGATCCGTATTGGGATATTCGTGGATTACCTTGCTTGCTGTGACTATTGCTATATGGAATTTTATTACTTGTTGCTGAGCCTCACTGGGATCTTTAGTGGAGATAACCTGTGAAAGACCAGCTCTCCACTACAGGGATTCCAGGATATTAATGGTTAATAGGAGGGTATTACAGGGATTCCAGGATATTAGGGGTTACAGGATATTAATGGTTAATGGGAGGGGATTCCAGGATATTAATGGTTAATGGGAGGGGGGTACAGGAATTCCAGGATATTAATGGTTAATGGGGGGGGGTTACAGGGATTCCAGGATACTTTTGGTGGTGCTGTATGCTCTATGGTTTGCGGGAGGAAGGGTTATTCGTGGTGTTCATGCAGAATTTCTGGTGGCGCTGCATGTTGCGTGGTTTAGGGGAGCCTGGGCTATTTGGGGTGTCCATACTTGTAGCTATGAAGAGAGACTTCCATTAACTATGCATCTGCTGAGAACATTAAAATATTAACCTCTTTTTTCCATTTCTCCTACAGCCGAGGGCCATGGCGGGCTTCAGGAAGCTTGCCGTCTCTGTCAGTGCTCTCCTCACTCTTGTGGCACTAAAGATTTACATTGATATGACCTATACGTTTCCCCCGCACACTGGCCTGCTATTAGGCACCATCCAAACTCCTAGAAACACCCTGATACTCTTGGAAGCTCTGCGAGGCCAGGAGAATGAGTCTATTTTTGCCCTTCGCGACCTGGCTCAGAAGCTCCGAAAGGTGGTCATTGAGTCAGATGCCCTGTGGAACAGCAAAGAGCTACAGCTATTAAATCATAAGGGACTGAAAGCCTGGACTTGTCAGAAAGATAAACAGTATTTAAAAGACCCCAATACATATCCAGACTCCCTGAAAGACTTTCTGCTATATGGAGGAGAATGCAGGAACCAAGAGATATTGATAGACCAGCCAAACAAATGTCCTCTTAACAAGACTTTTCTTCTTCTGGCCATCAAGTCTTCTCCTCAAAATTTTGCCCAACGGCAAGCTGTAAGAGACAGCTGGGGTAAAGAGAGAGATTATGGGGGACACCAGGTCAGACTTGTCTTCCTTCTTGGTGTTGCACCTGGACCTGACCTATCTTCACTTTTGTGGTACGAGAACAAACATTCCCAAGATCTTCTCCAGTGGGCCTTCCTGGACACCTTCTTCAACTTGACTTTGAAGGACCAGTTGTTCCTGGGTTGGGCAAGGGTACGATGCCCAGGAGCCAGTTACATCCTTAAAGGGGATGATGATGTTTTTGTCCATATGCCTGAAATTGTGCACCAGCTATCCTTGATGGATAGAAAGAATCCTCACGCTCTTTATATGGGAGATGTGGTTATGGACGCCAACCCTTATAGAGACCCCCGAAGCAAGTATTTTATCCCATCATCCTATTACACTGGATCATATCCCCCGTATGCAGGAGGAGGCGGGTATGTTTTTTCTGGAATCTTCATCCATTGGTTGTACTTGGTGTCACAGCTTGTGGTTCCATTCCCCATTGATGATGTCTACACAGGGATGTGTTTCATGGCTTTGGGGGTGAGTCCCTTAAAGCACCCAGGATTCCGGACATTTCATGTTCCAGGAGACAAGAGCACTGCAAAATGCCCCAAACAGCAGCTTCTTTTAGTACATCGTAAAACACCCCAGGAAATGCTGAAGATGTGGGGGGAACCGATGGCCAATATGGCTCCATGCTGAGACTGGAAAGAACAGAGACCTCTGATTCTGCACTTTATCCTAATAGTATATCTGCACTATTACCGCCCTAACACGACTACTGTCACAATTATTCCATCCGCCCTATTGCTCTGTATTCCTGCATGGACACTGTATCCTCATCTATTCACTCTGCTATTCAGGCATCTTCATCCAGTGTCACAACTACTGTATTCTGCAGCAGTCTGCTTCCAACCTTCTGTCCCGCCACTGAGTGCCTTTCTCGCTGCTATTTTATATTCAGTCTCCTCTCAATGAGTGCCTTCTGCCAGAGCCCACACTCACTGAGTGCTTCTCCCCTGAGCTCCACTCAGTGAGTTCCTTCTCATGGCCTGTGACTATCTGCTATTTTGTATCCAGTGTTTACACTCAATGAGTGCCTTCTCCTGTCCTCCATATCTGCTATTTTGTGTCCAGACTCAGTGATTGCTTTCCTGTTGTGCATGCAGACTTTTGAAGGCTCCACCTTGGGCCTGAAAGAGGTACAAGTCCCCATTCCTGCAGCGCTAATCTCCTGAGCATGTAACAATTTGGGCTGGAAAATATCCACTGTAATGTGCCGACACGTTCCCGGTGAGCCAGTTGAAGGAAGGACTAATTTTACTAACTATTCAAAAGGCTGGATTCTCAGACAGAACACCCTTGATGCTTTGCTAGATAAGCATGGCAAAGTATCTTGGCCGCTGGGGATCTATCTTTTTGGCTCCCTGACTCCGATCATTAATCCCTACATAACACAGAACCCCAAAGAAAGGTGTCAGATTGAGAGATCCATACCCCCATCTCTGGTCACAGGTGGACATTAGGAATCACAGGGTGCAGGCTGACCCTAGAATTGGATTAATCACCCCATATACTGCACCCGATGTTCTCTGTGAATTACCAAATAATGCAGTGTTACACATCGGATTCATTGACCCTTTAAACCAGGGATTATCAAGCACTCTCACTGTACTGGGCCAATTCCAGCTGGTGCACTTTACCCTCTCTCTCGTTCATTTTGGCCACCATGCGTTTAACCACATTTTTGGTGCAGGTGGATGGCACCACTTTAAAATAAGCATGGCATCCAAAACTATAAACGATTATCCTACAAACAATGGAATTTTTCTTTACGTCATCTTTTACCAACGGTCCCCTCAAGACTATTTTTAATACAATAATCCTTTCATCAAGTATTGAAAGGAAATAGATTTTTTTTGTTGTTGTTAAATTAAGTATATGTTAAAAAAGAGAAAACCTTTAGTATATAACAGTATCCTTCAGTTCTTCATGTACATGCACCTTGGGGCCAGACGGTGTTTGAAAACGGACAGTCTCTATGGTCTTCCCAGCTTCACTCCTTCCACGGAATTAGGGAAAACCATAGAGACAAACTGCCTGGCCCACGGTGCATGTACATGGCTGAAGGATCCTGTCATATGCAAAACAGAGTGAGTTTTATTTATATGTTATTTTATTTTTTTTACATATAGATTTAAAAAAATTCTGCTTCCTTTTAAAGGCTTCAAGCTATGATTATTTTATTACAAATTTGCTTTGAGGTGTCTGTTGTCCTATAAAGCAGAACTGTCACTTTCTTGAAATATGTACCATTGAATAAAACGCTGAAAATCACCTATAACTTGTGTTAATCTTTTTTTTTTTTTTTTTAATGAGATGTTCTGTTTTCTTTTCCATTCGTATTAATGATTCAGCAAATTAATCCACTTTAGACAAGGCACAGCCATGGCAAACATTGCAAATGAAGAGTAGAAATAGATACATTGTTTCATGTCTCCTCCTCCCTGTATGTGCTCTCCATGCCGACTGCCAGGTGTAATAGGCGGAGATTTATACCAATGATTGACAGGCAGCTAAGATAAATAGAAACATAGAATGTGACGGCAGATAAGAACCATTCGGCCCATCTAGTCTGCCCAATTTTCTAAATACTTTCATTAGTCCCTGGCCTTATCTTATAGTTAGGATAGCCTTATGCCTATCCCACGCATGCTTAAACTCCTTTACTGTGTTAACCTAAGATGGCGGCGCCCAGTAACAGGATAGAGAGATGTGGATTTTTATATCTAATTTTTTTTTTTTTTTTACAGCTCACAGATGACATATTTTGTTACGTATAGGGATAAGTAACCATAATATTAAAAGTCTTGGGAAACAACTTTAAGATATGCAGAATTTCCATAAAAACATGGCGTGCTATTCTTATCACATTACCAGTCACTGAAATTGGCTGACGAGCAAAGTAGATTCCTATTTTGTTGTCCACGTGCCACAAGATCTTAAAATTGCCCCATTTTGTTCTCGCACACTTGCATTGTGAATATACCAGTAAGACAACCGGTAACTGAAGATGTGATGTGTAGAGGAAGGCAGCAAAACCATCGATGGAGACCTTTACGTAACAATCGGAATTATTCCCTAATTTCAGAAATGCTGGGAATACAAGGGAATTTCAAATTCTAGACCAAAGTAGCCAAACAGAATTAACATGACAAATTTTTCAAATTGAGCTATTTTGAACTAACCTAGAAATTTGCTTTGAATTCCCAGCAACTCTCACTTTAGTAAATAACCCTGTGTATGTGTATATATATATATATATTTGTGGTCGTGGCAATATAGCCGTATATGGAAACATAGCATATGATAACATATCAATATTTGGAATTAGTCGGTTGTGGTGTGCCGAAACCGACAGAGGAGTAGGCCTGTAAAAGTGGGCCCACCTTAGAGGGTGTTTGTAATAGAGGGAGTGGTGGGTGGGTTGACTCGCCAGACCATTACGGTAATGTGGGAGTGGATTGGCAGCCTTTTTATAGGGAAACCAAGCCCCTCCCACAACTACAGGCCAAGCCTTTTAATTTGTGGTCATGGCAATATAGCCGTATATGGAAACATAGCATATGATAACATATCAATATTTGGAATTAGTCGGTTGTGGTGTGCCGAAACCGACAGAGGAGTAGGCCTGTAAAAGTGGGCAAAAATAAATTATCATAAGACGTAATACGTTGACCAAAACTTTATTTAGATAAGTCACAGAAAGCTAGTCTTAATTCTTTAACAGGATTGGGTATGTACAGAGTATAAGCGGAAGATTTCCAGCGTCCCATTGTTTTGATGATGTGCGGAGGAATGTGGTTAGCAGAAGCTGTAGATGCTGCTCCTATTCGGAAAGAATGACCCGAAAATTGACTAGGGTTCAAGCCGAGTCTAGTCAACAGCAGTCTTACATAGAGCATAAACTTTACTGTAGTTAGAACGTTACCGTGCAGTTCTAGCAAAGGTTGTAATGGTTGTTTGTGGAGTGATAATAGATAATTGTCAAAATTTTGTACAGGGCACCATTTGTTATGAGTAGGGTATAAGGGGATCGTAACGGTATGACCTATGGCGCTGGTTTTTGAGTGTTTTAGCGTGAGTAGGTAATGGTCGTTCTGTTTCGCTAAGTCCATAATTCTTAGGTAATCAGGGGACGTGATAGTCCTAGTTGTGAATTCGTTGGGACAGAGGAATCCATAAAAAGCAAGATATATGGCTGATTTTATTACCGTGTTTGTCCTGGGCTCAAAAGGAGAGGAATCTAACAAGTTTACTAGTGCATGAAATATGTGGTTATCAATAGGTAGTCGTTTCTCGGGGATATGTGTATCTAATTTCTTAATGCCTCTAAGAACTGTCTTGATTTGATATGAGGACAGGAAACTCGTGGCGTTGGGTTGTTGAATTAGCATGTGGTGTTGAATTCCCGTAAGGTATAGTTTTATAGTGTTAAATGATAGTTTAAGGTTGATGTGGCAAAAAGAAGTGAAACCCAATATTGTTTCTATCGTGAACATATCGTGAATGTGAAATTCAGTGATGAATTTTTTGAATATGTGAAAAGCTCTGTCGTAAGTGTTTCTAGTGTTTACAGAGAGTGCCATGTGAGAAATGTGACGTGCGTGATTTAACAAAGCTTTTAATCCATTATCATGTCTGTGAAAAGTGGGACTGGAGTTGCCCGTCTGGAGGCGGTGGGTAGTGTCGTGAAGAATTCCTGAAAACGAAATCGAGACAAGTGATCAGCACTGATGTTTGTGCACCCTGGAACGTGAATACATGTTAGAAAGAATTGACAAGTGGCTGCTACCCATGTGAGTCGTCTCAATAGCCTCATAATTACCAGGGATGATGACCGGCCTTTATTGACAATATGGCAAGTAGCCATATTATCAGAATAGCACCACACCGTGTGACCGGACCACTGGCGGCCCCAGGTAACGGCTGCAGCCACGATGGGGTACAATTCGAATAAAGCTGAGGTCTCTGTGAATTTTGTGAGTGATTTGACTTCAGTTGGCCATGGCCCCACGAGCCATAGGGTACCCCATATGGCTGCAAACCCCGTGTTTGCTGCAGCGTCTGTCCATATTGTGGGTGAAGTGTCTGAGTGAGATGGTATAAACATGGCACGCCCATTCCAAGAAGTGAGGAAAATCCTCCACATGCTCAAATCGGATGTCGCATGTTTGTCTAGTGAAATGTAAGATGTGTCTGAGGTGAATTGTGGAAATAGTGATAGCAAATGTGAAATAAATGATCTCCCCTGGGGAATGATTCTCATTGCAAAATTAAGCGATCCCAGCAATGATTGTAGGTCTTTCTTAGTGCAACGACCTTGCTGTAGGTAGTGGTCAATACTTGCCAGGATACGCTCAATTTTCTCCTGAGGGAGGCTGGCCTGCATGTGTACTGTGTTTAGTTGTATTCCTAAAAATTGCATCTGGGTGGCGGGCCCCAGGGTCTTGTGTGGGGAGACTGGAACAGAAAGTGACTCAAATAATGCCAACATGTGTTTTAAACTTGTGGGTGGACTTGTGTTGTTCTCAATTGTGAGGAAGTCGTCTAAATAGTGAATCACAGAGGGACATTGGTAAACATTTAGCAACAACCAACATAAAGCCTCTGCAAATGTGTCGAAAATACGCGGGCTGCTCTTAGAGCCAAAAGTGAGACGAGTGAAGAAATAGTATAACCCTTCCCATTTAATGCCGTGAAGGTGCCAAAGTGTAGGGTGCATAGGCACTAGTTTGAAGGCATTTACTACATCCGTTTTGCTTAACCATGCCCCTGTGCCAGCTTTAATGATAGCCCCGATGGCATGGTCGATAGTGGCGTAATGTAGTGAAAACTCTTCAGATGGTATCAGTGAATTTAGGCTAGGGACCGTGGAGGAATGTGGTGCGGATAAATCAATGATCAGCCTGGGTTTAAGTGAGTTTTTCCCCGTGACAATCCCAATGGGATTGGTTCTCCAAGAATTGAAGGGTGGTGAAAGGAATGGACCCAGCAAAAAACCTTGTTTCACCTCGGTTGTGATAAGTTTAAGTACCAGCTGTGGGTCATCCCGTGTGGAAAGTAAGTTGTCACATTCCAGTGTGCCTGTAGGTAAATGTATCAACCCTGTGTGAAATCCCTCTGATAATCCTGTTATGAGATAGTCGCTGAAGTGTCGTGATGGGTGTAGACGTAGCAAATCGGTGAATAAGCTGAGGTTCACGCATGTGAGATAGGGTTTTGGGAAAGCTTTATTTGGGCACATTGTCTTGGAATGAGCCCTGAAACAATGTGAACAAACATGCATTAGTCTACAGGAACTAAAACCACAATTGCCGGCATTAAAATTGTTACATACTTGGGATTTCCCTAAGAAGACAATATCTCTTCCTAGTTTGTCTTTCAAAACTTTGTTTGATCTTGGGGGGTAAGTTGCTGCTTGGTTTTGTTCTACCTCAGCTGTATTAGGGCAGAAATTTGTGCTGTGGGTTGCTGATGAACATACTGCACAAGTTGGGGGCCTGAGGCCTGCAAAGTGCCTACAGAATAGCTCAGTGTCCAACTTGCTCCAATTGATGTTTAAGTTGAACTGAGCCAGAGCTGCTGCCACTTTTGCAGAGAAGGAACGGTGGTAATCGTAAAACGCTGTACCACCGTATTTGTGTCCCAGATCCACCAACTTGTGCATGTACGTATCCAGCTCGGCTCTTTTCCCTAGGTATACAGTGCAATATACATCCCTATAGATGCCAAACCCTAATACAAATTCTGGGATGTTCAATTTTTTGTTTAGGTGAGGGTCTCTAGCTCTAAGGACTACGGAAACATCCCCACAAGCAAAGGTCCTGTTCTCAAGGACATCCTGGGAGGCAATGAGCAATGAAGCTAGGTTAACGTCCTTGCCTTCTAGAATGTCTTTTTTAAGGTGAGCTGGGACCATGTGTGAAGGATCAATGGATTCTATGTCAGCCGTAGCTGCCAGGGTATTACCGGGTAAGGTATTAGCAAGAGGCTGAGTGGTGACCGTTGCATTTGTGGACTGAGTAACACTACCGGCCTCCAATTTGTCCAGCCTGTCGCTGATTGTCCCTATGGATGCCATAAGGGACGTCATCATAGCATGAAATGCTGGCATTTGCGATCCGCTAGTGCCTTCCCCTGCATCGGAGTTGTCAGTGGTAGTGTATAATAGCCTATACAACTCCGCCTTCCTAGCTGTAGCCGGGAAAGGGATGCAGCGTCTTCTTAGTTCAGCTGTAAGACGTGGTATGGTCCATGATCTAAGGGATGCAGGGCTATTCACGTCTGTACCCGGAACAGGGGTGGCAGGCCTAGCGGGTGTGCTAGGTAGTGACAGTTCTTCAGGGATATCAGGCGTTAGTGACATAACTGAAATTATAAATATGAACAGTCAGTCGTATAAAATGTATTGTGGGTGGGTACTGGTGGGCTAGCTAAGTACCAAGCGGTGAAACAATTAAACTTCTTTTGAGAGTGACAGATGAGACCCTGCTAGTTGCCAAGCGGCTTGAGAGGCACTATCTATGCGTGGGCCCGAGGGGAAGATTGAGGCCACCGAACGTTGTGGCGGGGTGTAGGCCTCTCGGTGTCATTTAAAGCATAAAAAGATTGGGAGTGACAGGTGAGGCCCTCTCTGTATATTGATGCGAGGCGGCTAGCTATGATTTGGCCCGAGGGACGTATTACCTCCGAGTGTGAGGTTAGGGATGTTGGCCTCGCGGGACCACTAGCCTATGGATTAAGACCAGAAATATTTTAACTAATTGGGCCACCTAACCTGGGACCAGTACCCCTCAATATTTTAGGGTATATTGGGTTCTGGCGTAGTACCTGATAGTGTGTCAGGCTGATCTCTCAATGACGTAACTGTGATATTTGTCGGGTAGTTGACCTGTAGGTATAAGATGATAAGTAAATATCTGGAAAGTGGGGTGGTAGTTAGGCCAGATCGTGGACCAGAACCTACCCGATAACTGCGGAGGAGATATAATCAAAAGAAACTGGATCCTTGCTTGTAAAAGCTACCGTTCCAATGATTAAACCTAGGAGAGTAAATTATAACATTTTTACCTAAAATCATATGTTTATATGGTCATTTATATGAATCATATGACAATGTTACCAACCTATAAAGTATAATTGATACCGATCACTGGGTCCCCAAATTTTAATATGAATTCTGGTAAGGCAACCTGTTGGAAGATGTCAGAAATCAGGATTGAATTAAGTGTAGCATAATTTAAGGGAGAAGAAAGAAGAAAAAAAAATTAATTTGTATTTATTTTGGTGCTATATCATTATTGACCTGTAGGGGGCGAGATTCCACCTAAGAAGTGGATGCAGGATCTTGTATAATTAGTGAGAAATGCACGAATTTGAGTCGAATGTGCCGATAGTATATAATGACTATTTTGTATAGTAGAAATCCTAAGTATCTAGCCGAATGTAGCGTTCGTATGACATCTAAAACATGAATTACATAGCTTAGCGGCGAAGTGTATTTAGGCGAAAATAACCGAATGCGGTTGAAAGCGAATGGGGCTCCGCCGTGTAAGCCGTAAATGTGAAGCGGTTTGCTTTACGGCGGGCCCACTTACGGTTTTTTGGCGGCAGCAGTACCGGGGAAGCTGTGCAGTCGGCGGTGACGGCGGGAAAAGCGCCCTGGAGAGCCCGGAACCACTCAGGAGGGCACCGGACCAGGAGACCACGAGGAAACAGGTAAGAGGAATCCAAAATGGCGGTCTGAACCGGAAGTAACGTTTCAGACTCGCCAGACCATTACGGTAATGTGGGAGTGGATTGGCAGCCTTTTTATAGGGAAACCAAGCCCCTCCCACAACTACAGGCCAAGCCTTTTAATATATTATATATATATATATATAAAAATAAATAAATCACTCTTTTTCGGCTAAGCTAATTCAAATCAAAGGAACACTATAGGGTCAGGAACACATAGATGTATTCCAGACCCTATGGTGTTAAAACCACAATCTAGCCCCTTCTTCCTCCCTTACATCTATTCAAGTCTGCAGCTGTTGGCTCTGCCCAAGATCTGCCTGCTTGGCTGACATAATCAGAAGTGATTTTCTGAGCCAATCACAATACTTTCCCATAGGATTGGCTAAGACTGTCAAGGAGGCAGATCAGGGGCAGAACCAGCACAAGTCAAACACAGCCCTGGCCAATCAGCATCTCCCCCATAGAGATGAATTGAATCAATGCATCTCCATGAGTAAAGTTCAGTGTCTGCATGCAGAGGATGGAGACACTGAATGTCAGTCACACTGTGCAGCACTGCCACAGGAAGCACTTCTAGCAGCCATCTGAGGAGTGGCCAGTGGAGGTATCCCTAGGCTGTAATGTAAACACTGCAGTTTCTCTGAAAAGACTGTGTTTACTGCAAAAAGCCTGAAGGGACTGATTCTACTCACCAGAACAAACACAAAAAGCTGTAGTTGTTCTGGTGACTATATAGTGACCCTTTAATATCTGTATGTTACAAGTATTGTTTTAATCTGGTTAATGGAAATACATTCCATGTGGCATTCTTACTGTCGACAGACATAATACTGGTTCCATCACAACGGACAGCCTGCGATCAGATTAGACATTCAAGGTAAAAACGCGCACATCTTCTTGAATGCTGTGATATATATACACTCTATAATGGGATAATTAGCTGAAACTTACAGGCCCCCCCCCCCCAATCCATGCATTCAGTTACAGAAGCCCTGCATCCACAGTCCACAACAAACTGCCAATTTATTACCCTCAGATTTCACCAATTTCCATTTCTTGCTGACATCTTCCGTCTTACAGACCTACTCCATCAATCACACTTACCATCTCTTACAATCTTTAGATAGAAAAAAAAATATTCAAATATTACTCTCACTACTCACCTACCAAATCTTAATATAAAAAAAATCTCATTTAGATTATATTATAAACAGAATGCATTTCAAATGTAACAATGTATCTGGCACACACTGCCACTGTCCACACTTCCTGATTTACGTGGCTCATTTTCTTTACAGACTTGTTTACTACAAATGTGAAATTCTGACAATGCTGTTTCGCATCGCAAGTTTTCTGCCAATTCTTTTGAACAGTCCAGGTCCTGTGTGTGTGTTAAGTATTGCTCCTGAAATAAAACTTTAAAGAATGAAATAAAAAAGTAGAATTAAGGGTCCTTTATTTAAAAAGAAAACAAAAATTCAGTGAAATCTCTTTAATGTTCCTCCACCATACTAAGATACATTGATCGGAATCCATAATATCGTTTTCTTTGTCCCAAATAAACTATGTCACCGAGTCTGCTCTGCCTTTCTTTGTAATCTGCCTCTGAAATCACACAGTCAATTGTCACCATGGCGTAAAGCTATTTCTAAAACCAGAAAGCACATCTCCCTAACTCGTATTTACAATCCAAAAATGATTCTTCCTTTGAAAAGAAAATGGAGGCATCTCGGTCAGACACTGTAACAGATTATCCAGGTATATGTAGTGTTGGGCTGTCTCTGCTCTCACAATAAAATGATTACTTTTCGTAGTTGTCCAGGGGGTAATGTTCCCCATAAACCTTCAGATGTTTCATTAGAGAGTCTTGCTGTTTTTTCAGCTGTGGTGGCATCTCTGAATACACGTCAGTAAACATGTGCTCTAGCTTCGGTTTATTTGCGCGTTCTGCCTCTTCAAATGCTTCCATTACCTGCACGGAAAATGAAAAACGTATTAAACACTGGAAGGAGAATCTCTAAAAAAAATATCTGCAGATTAACTAAATTACCCATTTTATACAGATCGGAACCCCTCAGACACTGCTAGACCACGGACAGACAGCGACAGTGCCAGCCTCCCCCTCACGCTATTACACCATGCCATGTGTACACGCTACAGTGCTAGCCTCCCCTCACACTATTACACTATGCCATATATACACAGCACAGGCAGTGTTAGCCTCCTCTCACACTACTGCACCATGCCATGTATACACAGCACAGACAATGCCAGCCTCCCTCTCATGCTATTACTCCAGGCCGTGTATAGACAGCAGACAGTGCCAGCCTCCCCTCACACTATTACACCATGCCATGTATACACAGCACAGACAGTGCCAGCCTCCCCTCACACTATTACACCATGCCATGTATACACAGCACAGACAATACCAGCTTCCCTCTCATGCTATTACTCCATGCCATGTATACACAGCACGGACAGTGCCAGCTTCCCCTCACACTATTACACCATGCCATGTATACACAGCACAGACAGTGCCAGCCTCCCCTCACACTATTACACCATGCCATGTATAAACAGCACAGACAGTGCCAACCTCCCTCTCATGCTATTACACCATGCCATGTATACACAGCAGACAGTGCCAGCCTCCCCTCACACTATTACACCATGCCATGTATACACAGCACAGACAGTGCCAGCCTCCCCTCACACTATTACAACATGCCATGTATACACAGCACAGACAATGCCAGCTTTCCTCTCATGCTGTTACACCATGCCATGTATACACAGCACAGACAGTGCCAGCCTCCCTCTCATGCTATTACACCATGCCATGTATACACAGCAGACAGTGTCAGCCTCCCCTCACACTATTACACCATGCCATGTATACACAGCACAGACAATGCCAGCTTTCCTCTCATGCTATTACTCCATGCCATGTATACACAGCGCAGACAGTGCCAGCCTCCCCTCACACTATTACACCATGCCATGTATACACAGCACAGACAGTGCCAGCCTCCCCTCACACTATTACACCATGCCATGTATACCCAGCACAGACAATGCCAGCCTCCCCTCACATTATTACACCATGCCATGTCATCCCATCTTACCATCTTCCGTGACTTCTTCCTCCATATTTTCTCCTGCTCCTCGTCCCACCAGCCTTTGTGTAACATGTAGTGACGGAGCCGTGAGATTGGATGGTCCTGTTTGTCCCAATAATTAACCTCATCTACCGAGCGATAAGCAGAGCTGTCATCACTGGTGCTATGGTGCCCGATCCTTAAAATGCAGAAGAAAGGTTAAACAGCCATTTTATTACAGTGATGGGATGTAAACAATAAATTGGAATAATACAATAAACGTTTAAACTGTATTATGACATTTATGATCACTTTCTGAATTGATTAAGGGACACAACAGACCCCTAAATCACTATACTTTGCGTGTTTTGGGGGGTTTTTTTTTTTTGCAAAAAGTACAGATTTCAATATATAAATCAACCTGGTTACAACCCCCCCCCAAGGCTGTCAATCACAACCAATCCCTTTACTTCCTGGTTTGTTTACTTCAGTGGAGATAAACTCAAGAGGCAGCAATTGCTCAGAGCACCTGCCTTGCAACGATTTCTCATTGACCTGCATTGGGAAGTTTGGAAGTGATTGGACAGTCACAGAAAGTCTAAGCGGGGATGGAAGGGGAGGGTTTGCAACGGCTGCAGGCAAGAGATCTGTAGATTTAACAAGCTGTTTGTAGATATACCCTAATAAAAAAAAGTATAATTAAATGCAAGCATGTTTTCTTTGGGGGGGTGGGGAGAAGGGGTATATCTTTTAAACAGTGATTTTGAAGGTTTCTGTATTTGGGCATGGAGCGTTGCTTTAATTTATTATGCCAAGGATAATCCCACATTAGCAGTGTCTGCTCACCTGTAAGTCATGGCTTCAATCAAGAAAGGCTGATTCTCTGCCACTGCCCGACGTCTTGCCTCTTTTGTGGCATTGTACACGGCAAAGACATCATTACCGTCCACTCGAATAGACATGATACCATAGCCAGGACCACGTGCAGCTAAACCACAATAAAAGGTGAGTTACATGGAGAATTTTAAAAGCTCTGCATTTTGAACCTTTTCTAGCTAAAAGGAATCAGTTGGTAACACTCACCAATACCATCGCCGCGGTACTGTTCGGATGTCGGGGTCGATATCGCATAGCCGTTGTTTCTGCAGAAGAAGATTATGGGACATTCGAGGGTGGCGGAGAAGTTGAAAGCTGCGTGGGCGTCTCCCTCGCTAGCGGCTCCCTCTCCGAAATAGCAGATGACAGCGCGGTCAGCATTCTCGCGTTTCAGTGTGTAAGCCGCACCCACAGCTGCGAAGAGAAGGTAATACTCAATTCGCTAGACAGACGCAGAACATGCCAACGCCAAATTGAGAGATATAATTCAATTACAGCTAAAATACCCTGTTTTAATTGGATAATGACTACAGAAAGTCCGCAGCGTTACCATATATTCCTTTCATAGTCCAAAACTGCTTTCCTTTCAGTAGCTGAAATAACTGCACATAAGACAATCTCAAAAATGCTGCTGCTTTTGATTTGCACTAACTATACGTACAGACCATAAACCCTGTGTATATAGCATTCACTGAGAGAGGACAGATCCAGTAAAGCCTGGAGCAGTGCACGGAAGGTAGATAGGAATCACAGAGGTGATTTCCCAACCTGTGCTTTGTGGGTGTAGAATGGGGGTAGGCTACCTTATGCATTCTAGATTTTAGATGTTGTGGACTACATCTCACATAATGCCATACAGCCATAGAGCTGGCAAAGCATCAGGGGTGATTTAGTCCACAACATCTGGAGTGCCAACGGTTGTCTACCCTGGTGTACAGTGCTTGAATTCAGGAATCTGGTGTGTCAAACAACTCACCTTGAGGAATCTGTGTCGCCAGCGGCGAGGAGATTGTTACAAAATTCAGATCTTTGCAACCATAATGTACGGGCATTTGCCGCCCTTTCCCTGGATCGTTTGCATTGCCATAACACTGAGACATGAAGAGGTTCAAGGGATAACCACGGTACATCAATACTCCTGTAAGACAGCACAGAACGCAGAATTAAATAATTGCCATCGCCCATGCCTTGTCAGCACATTGTCCTTTCTAAATACGATCAAGCAAAATCAACCTGTCAGAATTCAGAAAATTGAATTTTGGAAATTGTGATTAACTAATTCTCAGTGAATAGATCTCTGTGGTGTTACTTACTATGCACAAAATTACAAAATCTGATTGGAAACAATTGGTGTCTGCTAAACAAAAATAATTTCAGTGCCAAGTGTGGGCATTTTCCTGTGGAATATTTAGTAAATAGACTATATGGTAAAAGATTGCACAATCAAATGGTCTAGCCATGCTTCTGCTCTCCGTCGCAGTAGGAGCAGGGATTATTAGTAAATGCGGTGGGTGAAGTTTTTGAAAGTAAACCGCAGACGTACTCAGAACCCCACTGCTACCGCAAGCTGTAAGGACAGGGGAAAGGAGTCCACTCCACAGCACATTTATTAAATAATCCCCATTTCCTAGAACGGGATGGGCCAAGACATGTGAAGGTAGCTGGGAGCCACTCGCTCCGTAATATTTACTCACCACACGCCTGCGATTCGTTGCTGAGCTAACGTCACAATCCTGTTCAGAGTAAATCCATATTCAGTTTGGCTGTTGTTAAATGTAATACATTTCAGCTGCATTCATGTGAATGAATTACCCAGAATTTATTGGCTGAACTTGCTGTTGGACCCTACAGACCTGATTCCCGTCATTTAAATCTTATCCATCTCACTGAACATGATGCAGTGTTAACAGGCCGGCAGGCGTATGGCATTGATTTCCATGGTAACTGCTCCATTTTACATGATAAATGAGCAGCCAGGCATTCAGTGTGCTCTGTGGAATATTCTACTAGAGGTGATAAGTGGGGGTTTCTGAGAGACTTAATGTATGTTAGAGGGCGAGTTGTACTATAGGTTAACATTCTTTACTGCTCCCATTGAAAGGCCATTCCATGTATCTACTACCCTTTACTGCTTCCATGTATCTACTACCCTTTCGTTATCACTGTTAGCCTTTACTGCTCCCACTGGAAGGCTATTCCAGGGATCTACTACCCTTTCTGTATCACTGTTACTGCTCCCACTGGAAGGCTATTCCTGGTATCTACTACCCTTTCTATATCACTGTTACTGCTCCCACTGGAAGGCTATTCCAGGTATCTACTACCCTTTCTATATCACTGTTACTGCTCCCACTGGAAGGCTATTCCAGGTATCTACTACCCTTTCTATATCACTGTTACTGCTCCCACTGGAAGGCTATTCCGGTATCTACTACCCTTTCTATATCACTGTTACTGCTCCCACTGGAAGGCTATTCCAGGTATCTACTACCCTTTCTATATCACTGTTACTGCTCCCACTGGAAGGCTATTCCAGGTATCTACTACCCTTTCTATATCACTGTTACTGCTCCCACTGGAAGGCTATTCCAGGTATCTACTACCATTTCTATATCACTGTTACTGCTCCCACTGGAAGGCTATTCCAGGTATCTACTACCCTTTCTATATCACTGTTACTGCTCCCACTGGAAGGCTATTCCAGGTATCTACTACCCTTTCTATATCACTGTTACTGCTCCCACTGGAAGGCTATTCCATGTATCTACTACCCTTTCTATATCACTGTTACCGCTCCCACTGGAAGGCTATTCCAGGTATCTACTACCCTTTCTATATCACTGTTACTGCTCCCACTGGAAGGCTATTCCAGGTATCTACTACCCTTTCTATATCACTGTTACTGCTCCCACTGGAAGGCTATTCCAGGTATCTACTACCATTTCTATATCACTGTTACTGCTTCCACTGGAAGGCTATTCCAGGTATCTACTACCATTTCTATAATCACTGTTACTGCTCCCACTGGAAGGCTATTCCAAGTATCTACTACCATTTCTATATCACTGTTACTGCTTCCACTGGAAGGCTATTCCAGGTATCTACTACCATTTCTATATCACTGTTACTGCTCCCACTGGAAGGCTATTCTAGGTATCTACTACCCTTTCTATATCACTGTTACTGCTTCCACTGGAAGGCTATTCCAGGTATCTACTACCATTTCTATATCACGGTTACTGCTGCCACTGGAAGGCTATTCCAGGTATCTACTACCCTTTCTGTATCACTGTTACTGCTTCCACTGAAAGGCTATTCTGGGTATTTATACTTTTTTTTTTTATCTGAAAACATGTTATCAAAGAGTCAGTGAATAATAAAACCAAATGTAAGTAGTTTTTTGGGTGAGAATTACCAAATGTGACTTTTTTATTTTACTTTTTGTGACTCTCCCATCATATCTGTTCTGTTTGCATGGCAGATTCTGTTTATTAATATTGCTGCATTAGAAAAAGTAGTCTATTTCGCGGTGATCTCTTACACAGACACTGAAAGGTTCCTGCTATGGAGGATTCCCACTAAGAATACTGTGAGAATATTCGGCACGTATTGTGCCCCGGATACATATTAATAAATGGGATGCATTGCATAACTAGTTAAATCATTTTTGGAAAAAATCCTCAGAAGTGGTAATGTACTCCAGGAAATATTCTCTTTTATTATTGGTCTTTATATAGCACTTTCCTATTCGAATGATGGGATATCACAGCAAACAAAACAAAATACTGCAAGAAATGAACAGAAAGAAAGAAGCTATTTATATCCTTGTCCCAGTGAGCTTGCAATCTAGAGGAGATGATGAGCAGCATATGGGATAAAATCTTCAGATGAGCGTGCGGTAAAACTGGAAGTTGAAGCCACTATTTATATTATAGAGGGAACAGATAGGTTAAAGCAGACCTGCACAACTCGGCATCAGATAGGGGCCAAAATTAAATAGGCTAAACTTCTTCGGGCCGCAGATACATTTTTAGTGCCTCACTTTCCAAGCAAAGGTAAAAAAAAAATTGCATAAAAAAATCCAGGTACACACACACACACACACCGACAGACATCCAGATACACACACACATACACACTGACAAACATCCAGCTACACACACACTGACAGACATCCAGATACACACACACTGACAGACATCCAGATACACACACACACTGACAGACATCCAGATACACACACACACTGACAGACATCCAGATACACACACACACTGACAGACAGCCAGATACACGCACACACAGATACACACACACACACTGGATAGACAGCCAGATACACACACACACACTGACAGACAGCCAGATACACACACACACACTGACAGACATCCAGATACACACACACACACTGACAGACATCCAGATACACACACACACACTGACAGACATCCAGATACACACACACACACTGACAGACATCAAGATACACACACACACACTGACAGACATCAAGATACACACACACACACTGACAGACATCAAGATACACACACATACACACACTGACAGACATCCAGATACACACACATACACACACTGACAGACATCCAGATACACACACACACACACACACACTGACAGACATCCAGATACACACACACACTGACAGACATCCAGATACACACACACACACACTGACAGACATCCAGATACACACACACACACACACACACTTTGACAGACATCCAGATACACACACACACGCGAGCAGACATCCAGATACACACACACACACAGGCAGAAGACACATCCAGATACACGCACACACACACAGACAGACATCCGGATACGCACACACACACACACACACACACACACACACTGACAGACATCCAGATACACACACACACACACACACTGACAGACATCCAGATACACACACACGCGGCAGACATCCAGATACACACACACACTGACAGACATACAGATACACACACACACTGACAGACATACAGATACACACACACACTGACAGACAAACAGATACACACACACACTGACAGACATCCAGATACACACACACACTGACAGACATACAGATACACACACACACTGACAGACATACAGATACACACACACACTGACAGACATACAGATACACACACACACACTGACAGACATACGGATACACACACACACTGACAGACATACGGATACACACACACACTGACAGACATACGGATACACACACACACACTGACAGACATACGGATACACACACACACTGACAGACATACGGATACACACACACACTGACAGACATCCAGGTCAAAATATACACTTCTATAGCCACCTTTCAGGTTCCTACATTTTGGGTGCGGGAGGGTAGCTTTCCTTGTGTCCATTCTGCAGGCTGACGATGTTGGGAGTTAGCGGTTGGCTCTATAGAGACTGAGCTGCCCTGACAGTTGGCAGAACAGGTACAAGTGCCAGGATTTGGTGACAGACTGGACATAAGGTGTAAAGGTGATAACACCAGGCAGCGAGCGTGCAAGGACAAGATAAGGGGCGAACCCTCTACCTGCAGGGAGGATTCGTTTTAGGAGGAGGAACTATAAGAAGTTCAGTTTTACATTGAGTTTTAGCAAATTTATTTTCCATATAAAAGTATAACAAGCTTAATATGCAAAGTGCATCTAAACACATCTGGATAAAAGTACAAATAAAATATTTATATACAATTCCACTAACTATATGTAAGTATATAGAGAAATAAAATTGCCGCAATCAACTTACCAGCTTCTCTGTATTGTCCAAAAACAATATCGGTGTCATTCATTGCAGCAGCGCTGCCCACATGGGTCCCTTCCTCACCATAGTTTGTCATATAGAAAGATATTCTTCCCTAAAAACAGAGTTTGGATAAAAACTTCCCACTGCAGGGTGACACAGACAGAAGGAGCTATGGGACACGGAGTCTGTCCCTCCCACTGCAGGGTGACACAGACAGAAGGAGCTATGGGATACGGAGTCTGTCCCTCCCACTGCAGGGTGACACAGACAGAAGGAGCTATGGGATACGGAGTCTGTCCCACCCACTGCAGGGTGACACAGACAGAAGGAGCTATGGGACACGGAGTCTGTCCCACCCACTGCAGGGTGACACAGACAGAAGGAGCTATGGGACACGGAGTCTGTCCCTCCCACTGCAGGGTGACACAGACAGAAGGAGCTATGGGACACGGAGTCTGTCCCTCTCACTGCAGGGTGTCACGGACAGAAGGAGCTATGGGACACACAGTCTGTCCCTCCCACTGCAGGGTGACACAGACAGAAGGAGCTATGGGACACGGAGTCTGTCCCTCCCACTGCAGGGTGACACAGACAGAAGGAGCTATGGGACACGGAGTCCTTCCCTCCCACTGCAGGGTGACACAGACAGAAGGAGCTATGGGACACGGAGTCTGTCCCTCCCACTGCAGGGTGACACAGACAGAAGGGAGCTATGGGACACGGAGTATGTCCCTCCCGTTGCAGTGTGACACAGACAGAAGGAGCTATGGGACACAGAGTCTGTCCCTCCCGTTGCAGTGTGACACAGACAGAAGGAGCTATGGGACACGGAGTCTGTCCCTCCCACTGCAGGGTGACACAGACAGAAGGAGCTATGGGACACAGAGTCTGTCCCTCCCACTGCAGGGTGACACAGACAGAAGGAGCTATGGGACACAGAGTCTGTCCCTCCCACTGCAGGGTGACACAGACAGAAGGAGCTATGGGACACGGAGTCTGTCCCACCCACTGCAGGGTGACACAGACAGAAGGAGCTATGGGACACGGAGTCTGTCCCTCCCACTGCAGGGTGACACAGACAGAAGGAGCTATGGGACACGGAGTCTGTCCCTCCCACCGCAGGGTGACACAGACAGAAGGAGCTATGGGACACGGAGTCTGTCCCTCCCACCGCAGGGTGACACAGACAGAAGGAGCTATGGGACACGGAGTCTGTCCCACCCACCGCAGGGTGACACAGACAGAAGGAGCTATGGGACACGGAGTCTGTCCCACCCACCGCAGGGTGACACAGACAGAAGGAGCTATGGGACACTGAGTCTGTCCCTCCCACTGCAGGGTGACACAGACAGAAGGAGCTATGGGAAACGGAGTCTGTCCCACCCACTGCAGGGTGACACTGACAGAAGGAGATATGGGACACGGATTCTGTCTCTCCCACTGCAGGGTGACACAGACAGAAGGAGCTATGGGATACGGAGTCTGACCCTCCCACTGCAGGGTGACACAGACAGAAGGAGCTATGGGACACGGAGTCTGTCCCTCCCACTGCAGGGTGACACAGACAGAAGGAGCTATGGGACACGGAGTCTGTCCCTCCCACTGCGGTGACACAGACAGGGAATATGGGACACAGAGGCAGGGAGCTATGGAGAGTCTGTCCCTCCCACTGCAGGTGGGACAGCTATGGGACACAGAGTCTGTCCCTCCCACTGCAGGGTGACACAGACAGAAGGAGCTATGGGACACGGAGTCTGTCCCTCCCACTGCAGGGTGACACAGACAGAAGGAGCTATGGGACACAGTCTGTCCCTCCCACTGCAGGGTGACACAGACAGAAGGAGCTATGGGACACGGAGTCTGTCCCTCCCACTGCAGGGTGACACAGACAGAAGGAGCTATGGGACACGGAGTCTGTCCCTCCCACTGCAGGGTGACACAGACAGAAGGAGCTATGGGAAGGAGATATGGGACACGGATTCTGTCCCTCCCACTGCAGGGTGACACAGACAGAAGGGAGCTATGGGACACGGAGTCTGTCTCTCCCACTGCAGGGTGACACAGACAGAAGGAGCTATGGGATACGGAGTCTGACCCTCCCACTGCAGGGTGACACAGACAGAAGGAGCTATGGGATACGGAGTCTGACCCTCCCACTGCAGGGTGACACAGACAGAAGGAGCTATGGGACACGGAGTCTGTCCCTCCCACTGCAGGGTGACACAGACAGAAGGAGCTATGGGACACGGAGTCTGTCCCTCCCACTGCAGGGTGACACAGACAGAAGGGAGCTATGGGGCACAGTCTCTCCCTCCCGCTGCAGGGTGACACAGACAGAAGGAGCTATGGGACACGGAGTCTGTCCCTCCCACTGCAGGGTGACATAAACAGAAGGAGCTATGGGACACAGTCTATCCCTCCCACTGCAGGGTGACACAGACTGAAGGAGCTATGGGACACGGAGTGTGTCCCTCCCACTGCAGGGTGACACATACAGAAGGAACTATGGGACACGGAAATCTGTCCATCCCACTGCAGGGAGACACAGAAGGAGCTATGGGACACGGAGTCTGTCCCTCCCACTGCAGGGTGACACAGACAGAAGGAGCTATGGGACACGGAGTCTGTCCCTCCCACTGCAGGGTGACACAGACAGAAGGAGCTATGGGACACGGAGTCTGTCCCTCCCACTGCAGGGTGACACAGACAGAAGGAGCTATGGGACACGGAGTCTGCCCTTCCCACTGCAGGGTGACACAGATTGGGTATTTTTACCTGTCTCTGAGACTCGTACAGGATCCTGTCCATGGTATTCAGTAGAGTCATTGTGTGGTAAAACTTAAGAACCTTCTCTTTAGGGATCTGCAGGGTTTAAACAGACAATGTTGGTTTTATCAGATTTTTACCTGTAAGACACCGTAGAGCCTACTAAGTCCTTATGATGGTGACGGATGCAGAGTCAGATATACAAAATGTTTTCTCTTTTAATGATGTGACCCTCCCAGAAGATGGCAAAAAAAAAATAAAAAAAAAAATCAACTTTTGAAAGTTAAAAAACAAAAATGAACAGAAAGAAATGTATTTAAAAATGATGGTAATAGGAGTAGGTGATGTGTAGAGTCCCACAAGGGGAAACCAACATCAGGAGAGCTCCATTGTATAAGAAATGAGGAAGGGGGGGCCTTCCCTTTTCCCTTTTATTCCAGAAGTTTGGTCCTTAAGGGGTTAAATGAGACACTTGTCCCATGCTAGATTAAGAAAAAAAATAAGTGAATGTGATATTTTTTCACATTTACCAGTTTTGTCTTGCTGCACTTTCTATATCCCCTCTGCAGGGCCGATCCTGAACATCCCTTCCCCCCGCCCCGCCTTCTAAATACACACATTCACTGACAGATACGCATAAACTAGCTAACAGAAACACACACTCACTGACACACACAAACAAACACACTCACTCACAGACACACACAATCACTGAAACACACACTCACTAACAGACACACACACTTTAACAGACACACACACTTTAACAGACACACACACTTTAACAGACACACACACTTTAACAGTCAGACACACACAGACAGACACACACTAACAGACAGACACACACTAACAGACAGACACACACTAACAGACAGACACACTCACTCACATTAACACATTTTTTTTTTTAACCCCACCCCCTTTTACCTTTGGGAGTGAGGCTGGGAGCCGGAATATGACATCATCAACCCGGCTCCCAGCCTCACTCTGCGGTGCGCGAGGGAGCTGAGCAGACAGCTCAGAGGAAGTGCTCCCTCGCCAGCCGCCCGCCCAGCATGTCTGTTAGCCACAAGGCTAACAAGGCATTTGTCCTGGGCATTTGGGGGGGGGGCGGCTTTTTTTGTCGCCCACCCCTGGAAAATGCCGCCCAAGGCTAAAACGCCCCTGGGCGCATCGCGGCGCTAAGCCCAGGCCCTCGCAATAGGCCCAGCTCCCTCACACTCGGCTCTGCCTCTTACATAGGATGCCCTGATCACACAAGGCACCTGGGATTCCCCCTCCCTGTCCCAAGGTAAGTCTCAGGGAGAGGCAACAAACTAGTGTTTTTTTTTTTGTTTACCTCCTAAACTGAGTCACTAACCCACCATAACAGCCCCTAAACCCCCACTACAGCCCATAACCCCCAATTGCAACCCCTACACCTGACTACAGCCCCTAACCCCCAAGTTCAGCACCTAAGGTCCTATGCCCCTCCCCCAATTGCAGCTCCTACACACTACTACAGACCCTACACTTTTCTATAGTCCTTTAGTCCCCCATACCCTACTACACCCCTTACTTCCCACTTACTCTACAGTGAAAAAGTTCCCTGTATTCTCTGTCTTCATTCGACTATTTCCTCTCCCTGCTACCTAAATGACTTGGCAGCATTCGTTTTTCTGTGTGTGTTCGGTAGATTATTCGTTCTACCGAACAGAGACCACCCTGGGTAGCAATTAGAACGTAGAACACCATGTTGCAACACAAAACCACAAGGTAATTGAGTGCTCCTAGGTGGTCGCCATTCGGTATACGAACATATGGCGAGAACAAAGGATGGCGGCCATCTTAAACTCCCAAACGAGGCCAGCGGGACCGGGTCGTCGAGTACCTGGAACTGTTTTTGGCATGGCACTCGCACGAACACCCGGTCTTTATGGAAGTCCCGTCAGACCTATTCCTGACACTATATAATCCTTAGGTCCCCCCTTCCCCCAGGGCTGAAGGAGTTAAAACCCCTTTGCCACTTGGCTTATTCCAGCGCCGGGGCTGGTGACCTCTCCTCCCCCTCCGACGTCAGTTCCCGAGTGGAGCCGAATGCGCATGCACGGCCAGAGCCGCACGCACATTTAAGAACGCCCATAGGAAAGCATTTCTTAATGATTTCCTATGGACGTTCTGCGTGCTCAATGCGATTTTCGGTTGGGGAAGCACCTCTAGCGGCTGGATTAACCCGAAATGTAAACATAGCAGTTTCTCTGAAACTGCTATGTTTACATCAGAAGGGTTAAAACCTGGGGAACCTGACACCCAGACCACTTCATTGAGCTGAAGTGGTCTGGGTGACTATAGTGGTCCTTTAATCTAAATTTAAACAATTGCCACTGAACCTGGAGAGTATGCCAACAAAAGATTTATTTGATATGTGTCACAGTACAGATTCAAAGTAACATATTGCTTCCCGTTATATCATTCACCTGTCATTCCTTAGAAAATAACCCCAGGTAATTCTATTTTGCAATCTGCTGCTGTACTTGGGGAACACATGTGGTAAAGATTAATTTGCTACATAACCCTGATTTGCCTGCAAATGAGTTTAAGTGTTGCTTCCCATTATACTTTATGGGCATTCTCTTGTTTTTTATTATTATTATTCTTATTCTTAAAGCGCCAACAGTTCCGTAACGCTGTACAATGGGTGGACCAACAGACACGTATTTGTAACCAGACAAGTTGGACACACAGGAACAGAGGGCCCTGCTCAGTGAGTTTACATGTTAGAGGGAGTGGGGTATAGTGACACAGTAACAGAGGGATTGAGGGCCTGCTCAGTGAGTTTACATGTTAGAGGGAGTGGGGTATAGTGGCACAGTAACAGAGGGATTGAGGGCCTGCTCAGTGAGTTTACATGTTAGAGGGAGTGGGGTATAGTGACACAGTAACAGAGGGATTGAGGGCCCTGCTCAGTGAGTTTGAATGCTAGAGGGAGTGGGGTATAGTGACACAGTAACAGAGGGATTGAGGGCCCTGCTCAGTGAGTTTACATGTTAGAGGGAGTGGGGTATAGTGACACAGTAACAGAGGGATTGAGGGCCTGCTCAGTGAGTTTACATGTTAGAGGGAGTGGGGTATAGTGACACAGTAACAGAGGGATTGAGGGCCTGCTCAGTGAGTTTACATGTTAGAGGGAGTGGGGTATAGTGACACAGTAACAGAGGGATTGAGGGCCCTGCTCAGTGAGTTTACATGTTAGAGGGAGTGGTGTATAGTGACACACTAACAGAGGGATTGAAGGCCCTGCTCAATGAGCTTACATGTTAGAGGGAGTGGGGTATAGTGACACAGTAACAGAGGGGTTGATGGCCATGCTCAATGAGCTTAAATGCCAGAGGGAGTGAAGTATAGTGACACAAAAGGTAAGGGTAGGGGTAGAAAAGTAAGTTGCTAGGATAGTACTTTAAATGAAAGTTTCAGGAGAGGAATCGGGGTGCGGGGAGGCAAAGCTGTTCACAGTTTAATTGATATGCTTTCCTAAAGATGTAAGTTTTCAAAGATTTTTTTGAAGGAGTGGAGATTGGGTGAAAGTCTAACAGAGAGGGGAAGGGCGTTCCATAGGAACGGTGCAGCCCTAGAGAAGTCTTTAAGGTGAGCATCAGAGGTAGGAGTACGAACAGAGGTTAGACGTAGGTCTCCGGCAGAGCGTAGTGGCCTAGATGGGACATATTTGTGTATTAGTGAGGATAAGTAGGTGGAAGCAGCATAGTGTAGAGATTTGTAAGCAAGTGTCAGGATCTTAAATTGAGCCCTATATCTTATGGGAAGCCAATGTAGGGACTGACAGAAGGGTGAGGCGTGGGAGGTGCAGGCGGACAGGAAGATGAGCTTCGTTGCCGCAATCATTATAGACTGTATCGGGGCAAGTTGGGAACACGTAAGACCACTGAAAAGCGTATTACAGTAGTCAAGGCGAGAAAGGACAGCAGCAAGGACAAGCACCTTTGCCGTATCATGTGTTAAATAAGGTCGGATGAGCACACTGTTTTTGGGATGGAAGCGGCAGGATTTGGCGTTTGATTGGACATGAGGGGTGAAGAGGAGGTCAGAGTCAAAGACAACACCTAAGCAGTGAGCCTTAGAGGTAGAGTGGACAATAGGTCCCCCCTTCAGTTTAATAGCTCCCACTCACGCTGCACAGGTGGGGGCTTGGGAGGAGAGATACTAGGGGTATTTTTTTGCCACAGGCTGCTCACTGTTTACTAGACATACCCCTACAGGCGGTATAGCAAGTAGGGGCATAATTTACTAATACTAAGTAATCTTTACTTAGTATTAGTAAATTTGACGGAAAGACCAATTTAGGTCTTTCAGCCTTTTGGTAGATAACTAATACTGTGGGAATTAGGGAGTTATCTACTAAGCGGATGCAAGATGCAGCAGCGACACGAATATGATCAGAGTTTCATTCATTCAAATGAAATTCCGATCCGCACAAAGTCTCGAAATGCGTCCGAACACGAATGGAGAAACTGTTCTCATTCTGTAAGGACGCAATTCGGTAATTTTGCCAGCGTTCTATCTAAATGACAGGATGTTTGGGAAAAATTAAAGGAGGCATCGCGGGAACACGGAAGAAAGGTGAGAATTGTGGGAAAATTTCTCTGACCATCAGAAATGAACCACACTTTGCTCCTCCGCTGGTCAGAGATGGTCAGGCGTAGGAAACCACCATAAGAGGAATAGTCCCCTACTTTGTCTTATGTTTTAAAGAAAACTAGAGCAGACAGGAAGAAATGAAGAACAGATCCTGAGAGAGGGAGAGAGGAGGAATCAATTGGGGAAAGGTATCACAGTGCCGCTTTAATGCTTGTATAAACAGAAACTTATGCAACCAATAAACAGATAGCATATGACAGTACAGATGAAACAAACTGTTGCAGGATGCGTCTATATATAAACACACAATACGGTCTGTAAAGAACTCATCAAAGTCCCAGAAATAAATAAAATGATGCTTCCAATGCTCCACTTAGTTTGAAAAATACATTTCATAGTGCGGTCTGTTCCCAATTACTTTAAACACTCACTAGATTAAAACTTGCCAATCAGGAGACGGCTCTTCCAAAAAATGAACTATTCTTTCAGAGTTAATAAATCAGTCAGTCTCATGCAGATCAGCCCAGTACCAGAGAGAGGAGGCTACCAGTTGGATTCGGCATTCAACTGGTCTAGTACAGTCTACTTACCTTCCACTGATGGCAACAGAGGATTCTTTCCTGAAATTAGCCTTACGTGTTTCACGGAGTGTCAGCAACATTTGTACGGTCTTATAAAGTCTATTAATCTATTTAGGGAATTATTTTATACCTGGACTATTTTGATTGATGTTTTATACTCTGTAACTAGGTAAAGTTTTTTTTTTTTCTATTGGCTCTTAGATCTTTCGTTTCATGCCCCACAGGAAGATGATTGAATACTATGGTTAGGATAACCGGACACGGACATATCTAGTGATATAAAAGGCACGATAATATTCAGATGGGGTGTGTATCTTTAAAATCTCCCAGGCTCCCTAGTATTTACCATCACCATTAATGTTATAGGAACACTACTAGGGATACAAACATTGAGTGTCCTGTACATGTTTATGTGCCTAGTCACCTTGGATTCCTTGATAGAGGTAGTTTTTTTTTCATGGCCACCCTGTCTCTTTGGCTTAGATCAATCTTGATGATCTCACCAAATCCAAAGCTTTCTTACAGGGATGCATTAAGAGGCTACTGAGCATGCGCCAATTAAATTCTTCTCTAGGAGTGGCCTCTGATTGAGAATGAAGTCTGACTGTTTTGCACTAGAGTTGTGTTAAAGGACCACTATAGTCACCCAGATCACATCAGCTCAATGAAGTGGTCTGGGTGCCAGGTCCCCCAGGTTTTAACCCTTCAGATGTAAACATAGCAGTTTCAGAGAAACTGCTATGTTTGCATTGCAGGGTTAATCCAGCCTCTAGTGGCTGTCTTCCTGACAGCTGCTACAGGCGCTTCTGCAATGCTGGATGCATTCGCATTCAGCGTGCAGAAAGTCCATAGGAAAGCATTGCAAATGCTTTCCTATGGGCGTTTTAAATGCGAGTGCGGCTCTGGACACGCATGCACATTTCGTTCCGAGTGAGCCTGGCGCTGGATTAAAGTAAGTAGCTGGGGGGGGGGCCCTGAGGGTGGGGTGGACCTAATGGTTATATAGTGTCAGGAAAACAAGTTTGTTTTCCTGACACTATAATGATCCTTTAACCCTGCAATGTAATGACACATATCTGTATTTACTAAAAGTCAATGTTTTACATTGCAGGGTAAAAGGACAGACGTTGAGTGTAGTGGTCCTTTAATGTCCCTATAGAACATACAAGATATTGAATTTAGAGATTAATTTGATCATTCGAATTCCCTCCCCATGCGAACCAGCCATTGCATCTCAGACACACAAGCTTAGACCTTACATGTGGGTCTTCCTGCGGGTTGAGGATTTGGCCCTGTCGGTCCATCACCCGATAGATGGGGATCCCAGAAATTACATTGGGCTGGATGAACTCCAATGACTCCACAAACTCTGCAGAGGCTCCTGGGAACTGCGGCTTCTCCTCCAGTGACGTGAACTCGCTGCGGAAACGGACAGCCTGTGACGGATGATAAAGAGATTTAGATAAGCAAAGAGGCAGCAGCGGCCATGGGAAATGACAAGCTTACTCTGGGGATCACCTGTCTGTCTTGTATGTCTACAGAGAAGTACCCAGCATGCAGCTCCCTCGGTAAAACCTGGCTGTGGACAATAGCAGCTATAGTTTACTTTCAGCCAGGGAGATACTCTTCAGCTTCTCCTGTCATGTAACCAGCTGGATGGCCCCTGTCCAAAGTGATGTCACGTTGGGAAGCAGTGTATATGGTCAGATATGACGGGCTCATTGGATGGTCTCTAATGATCTCCTGGGCTTCACAGCCCTGCCACCTGCGCTGCAGCGCCAACTAACAAATATTAAATACAATCTCTGGTCTTGGCGAGGTGACAGCCACAAACAGGGATACTGCGGATTTTCAGTGTAATTTAATGTCTGTACATTTTCCACAAGTATAATATAAAGAGAAACTATAGGCACCAAAATAACTTTAGCTTAATAAGGTGGCTTTGGTGTATAGATCAAGCCCATGCAGTCTCACTGCTGAATTCTCTGCAAATTAGGAGTTAAAGCACTTTGGTTATACAGCCCTAGTCACACCTTCCTGCATGTGACTGACACAACCTTCCTAAACACTTCCTGTAAAGAGTAATTTAATATTTACTTCCTTTATCGCAAATTCTGTTTAATATAGAAATTCGTATCAAATGCTTAGTTAATAGCTTGCTACACTGCAGAAGCCTCTTGCATGTGATTAAAGTTCAACTTACAGAGGCAGAGCAGGCGATAACTTTAGAGTCTGTCCCTCCCACTGCATAGTGACACAGACAGAAAGAGCTATGGGAGTCTGTCCCTCCCACTGCAGGGTGACACAGACAGAAAGAGCTATGGGACACGGAGTCTGTCCCTCCGACTGCAGGGTGACACAGACAGAAGGGAGCTATGGGACACGGAGTCTGTCCCTCCCACTGCAGGGTGACACAGACAGAAGGAGCTATGGGACACAAGTCTGTCCCTCCCACTGCATAGTGACACAGACAGAAGGAGCTATGGACACGGAGTCTGTCCCTCCCACTGCAGGGTGACACAGACAGAAGGAGCTATGGGACACAGTCTGTCCCTCCCACTGCAGGGTGACACAGACAGAAGGAGCTATGGGACACGGAGTCTGTCCCTCCCACTGCAGGGTGACACAGACAGAAAGAGCTATGGGACACGGAGTCTGTCCCTCCCACTGCAGGGTGACACAGACAGAAGGAGCTATGGGACACAGAGTCTGTCCCTCCCACTGCAGGGTGACACAGACAGAAGGAGCTATGGGACACAGAGTCTGTCCCTCCCACTGCAGGGTGACGCAGACAGAAGGAGCTATGGGACACAGAGTCTGTCCCTCCCACTGCAGGGTGACACAGACAGAAGGAGCTATGGGACACGGAGTCTGTCCCTCCCACTGCAGGGTGACACAAACAGAAGGAGATATGGGACACAGAGTCTCTCCCTCCCACTGCAGGATGACACAGATAGAAGGGGATGATGCCAGCAGTGAGCTTATGAAGCTATCCCCCATATTTGACATAACGAAAAGCTAAATATTTGAAAACAATATTAATACCTAAAGGGCAACACTAAGTATCATAACCACTGCAGCCCGCTTTATGCCAGCAGTCTGCTCGTGCCGTACCATGGTAAGTAGCCAAGTTATTTCAAAATGGTTTATCACCCACCTGGGTCCATTCAAATTTTAGTTCCAAATTAGAAACATCTCCAAATAAGGTGTTTTCAATCAGGAACTTGGGCCAGAATGTGCATATTACGGACAAACTGCGTGAGTATTTCCGGAATAAAAGCTATTAAGCTGTTCTGCTCAGGGACCCATTCACTTACTGTTCCCGTATGTCAAACGTGGTTTATTGGAATGGTTTGCTGAATGTACAGATCTGCAGAATATGAATAATTGCTATACTAATAAACTACAGAACAGGAGTGACAATGAGCTGTATTCACTAAACGGTGAACTGCAGTGAAAATAACAGCATTGGCCTGAACTCTGCAATGTGAGTTTAGTTTCAGTACAATATATATCTTATTGTTAACCCTTTCAGTGAGAGATATCCTATTACTGGGGTTAACCCTTTAAGTGAGACATATCCTATTACTGGGGGGTTAACCCTTTCAGGGAGACAGATATCTCCTATTACTGGGGGGTTAACCCTTTCAGTGAGACAGATATCTCCTATTACTGGGGGGTTAACCCTTTCAGGGAGACAGATATATCCTATTACTGGGGGGTAAACCCTTTCAGTGAGACAGATATCTCCTATTACTAGGGGTTAACCCTTTCAGGGAGACAGATATCTCCTATTACAGGGGTTAACCCTTTCAGTGAGACATATCTCCTATTACTGGGGATTAACCCTTTCAGTGAGACATATCCCCTATTACTGGGGATTAACCCTTTCAGTGAGACATATCTCCTATTACTGGGGATTAACCCTTTCAGTGAGACATATCTCCTATTACTGGGGGTTAACCCTTTCAGACAGATATCTCCTAATACAGGGCTTAACCCTTTCAGTGAGACATAT